GTGGCGTTGGGAAGAAGGGAGGATAGAACGCGAGTTCCTTGTCGCTGAGGGAGAAGTCGGGTAGATACAAGTCTCCTCTCATCTCCCGCTCGGACTTCCAGGACGACCAGTAGATGGCTTGCTGGAGCGTGTCAATGGAGTAATTGTGAAGTTCGTTGCCCGACTCGACGTAGTTGTGATAGCGTTGCTGAGATTCAGGGGTAAGGAATGGGAGTTGCTGGCAGCTGGCGAGCGCCTGCACGAAGTACCGCCATGCCTTGACGGGCTGGAAGATGCACATCATGTAAACCCCTGACAGGAAGAGGCATTGAGCGGCAATGATGTCGTCCGATGAAAGGAGAATTCCAAGCCTCTTCTGAGCCGCCTGGAAGAACGATTGAGCGTTGCCATGCGCCAGGGTCCCGGGCATGGTCTCGTGACTCGGCCCAAAAGGGGTCGCGATGGACCCTAACGCGAAAATCAGGAGAGACAAGCAGGACTCGGCAGACCAGTCGATGCCGTTCATGATCGTTGTCGAAACCATCTTCCTCGTGGCAGTCTCATCGAGAATCGGGTTCTTGACATGGGCATAGCTGAAGAAGCTGTCGAGCAGATCGTTGACCCTTCTTGGTTCCATGTCGAGCGCGCCCAGCACTGAAGCCGGAGAGCTCGCAGCGGCGGTGACGTGATCGACATGCAGCACCCCGTCGTTTTCTGCGGCTTCTCTCCTCATCGTCTGGAATACGTGCCACGACATGACCTCTTCAGGGCCAGGGGGAATAATCATGCCAAGCTGAATCGGAGGCCCCACCGGCGGCGGTAATTCAAGACGTGGCTCGGCCGGGGCCTCGACTACCCTCGTCTTATTTGAAGACCCTTCAACCGAGACAGATCTCATCAATTCCTCAAGATCATCCAGTCGTTCCAAAATCTTGAGACTTGCTGGGTCGAAGCTGGACAAGTCGACGGGCGACTGTATGCAAGTCGCCCCGACCTTGAGGCAGAACGAGCATGACGGCTTCAGATTATCGCATTTCGTCCTACGAGCTCGGCACACCTGACAGGCCCTCACAGCTCTCTTCCGTTGATAGAATGCCGTTCCCCTAGCCGACGGGCGGGTGTTGGCCTTTGTTGATGATTCCGGCTGGCTCCGGTCTGGAACCGACTCTTCAGGCGGTAACGACACGTGGTTTTCCGGGGGAGATGGGTCAGCCATCAGGTAACAGATAAACTGGGGAAAACAGACGGGTTGAAATGGTTCGACTCTGTGGGGAAAGCAGCTGTTTCGTTGGTTTGCTGCAACAGACACGGGATGGGTGAGTGATGTGGAAGCTGGAGAAAGAAAAACATGGGGAAAACGTCGCGGAATATCGCTCGAGAAAAGACATGCTTCTTCAAGGTCTAAAAAAGGGCCTAAAGACGCTAATCCGAAACTGGATCGCGGGGAAATTTGCGGGGCACCACACGCTGGAAACGTTCCACACTCTCGGAATTTGCACCTCGGCCAAACGCGGACTCGCGTCGACTGACTTTTTGGAGCTGAACGAACCCTTGGCCAGGCCTGACTAGCAGCGGCCTAGTTTCGCTTGAACAGTCCGCGGAGTGTCGCACTTTGTGTGTGTTTTTGCCGGCCGTAGTTGAGCAAGAAACGACGGTCAGGATGACCTCAGTTGGTAACCAACTTGCATGCCGACTTGCACCCATGCAAGCGACCATCACGAGTCGGCAAGTCCAGTAACCTGACAGCCGGAAACGATGAGCCGGACTTGGATATAATCTCAAAGGCTTCCCCGGACTTTTTGACATGATCGCCCTGTTCATTCTCCACCGCCCTGCCAACCTCGTTCGGTCTCCCTTCAAGTTCTAGACCCCCTTTTTCTCTCCCATAGAGTTGGCAACCACATCTCAACTGCCGCAGCTGGTATCAACTCCCATCAACGATGGAGAAGACCGATCCTGCGGGCCACTTGGAACCAAGTGTGTCGCATGTGCATGATCCCAAGGGCGCTACAGCAGCCACCACGAATCAACAGGAACACGATCTTACTGTTCGCGATGTCTTCAAAAACCACAAGATCATCGTCTGGTGGTGTTTCTACTGGGCTATGGCCGCGATTGGATGGTACAAATCTTATGTTGCGATACTTACGGAAGAGAGATGAAGACTGACAGAAGTACCAATTCAGGGGTTTTGACGCCCAGATCAACGGAGCCATGATTTCTGTCGAGTCTTTCCGACGCGACTTCGGGTACGCAACCAACGCCATCAGAAACATAATCTAGTAGCTGTAAAGATCGAGAGCTAATGGTTTCTTGATCAGATACGTCGAGAACGGCGAAGCAATCCTCCCTGCCGACTGGCAATCCGCCTTCAACGTCATCTCCACTGTCGGCCAATTCTTCGGCGGCTTCCTCTGCAGTTACATGGCCGACAAGATCGGACGAAAGAACTCCCTCCTCATTGGCATCGTCGTCTGCAGTGGCGGTTGCGTCGGAGAGATTCTCTCAGATACCCGGGGCGCCTTCCTAGCCTCCAAGCTCATCTTCGGCGCAGGCCTGGGTTTCTACCTCACCCTTGCCCCCTTGGCATGCAGCGAGCTCGCCCCCGTCGCCCTCCGTGGGTTCGCTACGGCTGGAGTCAACTTGGGCATTGCTCTCGGACAACTCCTCTCGAACGCGGTTGTCAAGGCCTTTGGAGAACGCTCTGATCGCTGGGCCTACCGCGGTCCCTTTGCCACGCAGCTCTTCTTCGCGTTGTTCCTGATCGTATTCCTTCCCTTCGCCCCCGAGACGCCGTGGTACCTGGCCCGAAAGAATAAGTTGGAACAAGCCAAGAAGTCGCTGCAGAAGCTGTATGGGACGGGTTATGATGTCGACTCGAAGCTTGCGGGGATCATGGCTACTATTGAAGAGGAGGCGCTAAACAAGTCTTCGGAATTGGGTTTCATGGATTGCTTCAAGGGAACGAACCGCCTTCGCACTGGTATCTCTACTGGTGTTTTCCTATGCCAACATCTGGTTGGAATTGTAAGTCTATCTGCCCAATAACACTAAGGTAGCTGCTAAAGGGTACTTTTTCAGGTCTTCGTCCTAGGATACTCGACCTATTTCTTCCAGCTCGCCGGCCTCGACGTTTCCAAATCCTTCGACCTCGGTGTGGGCGTGACAGCTTGCGGCGTCCTTGGAAATATAGTCAGCTGGTTTGTCGTCGAGTCTTGCGGCCGGCGTAAGGTGTTCTTGTCCGGCATGGCCTCCCTGACTCTGCTCCTTCTCGTTATTGGCATCATGGACGTTGTGCCTACGGATGCTGCGAAGTGGGTGCAGGCAGCATGTACTGTCATCTATGCCTTCGTCTACTTCCTGACTGTCGGTGCAATGGCATTTGCCATTCTCGGTGAGGCTTCGAGTACGGTGATGCGAGCCAAAACCATTGCGTTGGCGACCGCGACTCAGGCTGTCTGTGGTCTTATCATGAACTTCTCTATCCCTTATCTTGTCAACCCTGGTAAGCATTTGTTCCTGCTGTTGCGCCGGTGTTGCTTAGCTAACCACATGCAGACGAGGCAAATCTCAAAGGAAAGGTTGGCTTTATCTTTGGAGGACTTGCCTTGCTCGGTACTATCGGAAGCTTCTTTTACGTCCCCGAACTCAAGGGCAAAACGTTTGATGAGATCGATCGTCTCTTCGCTGCGAAGGTTCCGCCTAGGAGAATGGGCGATATGTAATCACGTGTGAAAAGAGATACTGCATAACTAAGTCGGTGACTATGAGTAGCGATAAAGTATTTACAAATCCTCCAAATTCATTTCGTAATGAACCAGCCAGAACGACAGCAGACCATTCACATGCGAGTTTGCAGTGCTTTGATTCTGGAAGGCAGTCATGGCATACTGTACCCAGGATCTTATGCGTCTATGTGAGCATATTCATGTGAGAGCTCAACACTGTGTGATCCAGGGTATTCTCCCTGGCTGAGTGGTCTTTTAAGGTATACTTTAGCAGCCTCTATATGTTAGGTTGGATGTCGCTTTTACCCGCCTACACTTACGTTTGATGGAGATCTGAGGTAGACAACTTATGCTCGGGCCACAACCAATCTTGCGAAGCCTTGTGGTCCGTGCATATCTTGGTCGTCGATCAGCCCAACCTTTCGATCTACACCGTGTCTAGCTGGATGTTGCCTCGTTTGTTCGTCAAACTCTTGAAGTAGGCATCATCCCGGACTATTTCCTGCAGCTGCGAGAGGTTCGCTCCAAGGGAATCTCTGGTCTCAAGGCGTTCCTCGCCCTAACAGAGTCACGGCGCTTTGCAGCGACTGATATTGGACTGGTAGGCTTTGTACCTATGAGGGCTAAGAAAGGGAATTTGGTTGTTATTTTGTATGGATCTGAAGTGCCGTTTGTGGTAAGGAAGGAAGGCTGGGGGGGNGGGGGGGGGGGATGTTCACTTGTGGGGGAGTGCTATATGCACGGCATCATTAACGGGCAAGCCCTCAAAATGGAGTCTGTGGAGATGAAGACGAAGTATTCAGTTTCATTTAGATTGTATTGTGTTTGAAGAATGGCGCTTAGGTCAGGTTTTGGCTTTCCCAGCACAGAAGCGATGGAGTTGCCATTCAGCTCTAATACCACATCAACCCACATCATTTGGGCGACCGGAGAGGCTCTAGAGTCTTCGTGACGTCTACAAATCTCCAGCGGACTTTCTGTGCCATTATTCGCTGACTTCTGCTGATATGCTCTTAACTGTTGTTCCGGTCCCATCGAAGCAGACTCCTTCTTATCGACAGCTAACCGCCCCTCTACTAGTGCTGAGCTGGCCTACCTAGTCGTATCCATCCTCACTGACCCATCTGCAGAATCATTCAGCGAATGAGCGCTTCTGATCCCTTTGCCAACCCCAGCGGGAACATGCGGGAGATATTTGACTCGCCGCATGATTGGTTTCCCCGCACGATTGTTCTCGTTGCACAATAGTCGTCTCACTCGTCAATCGCTGATTTTCAGCTGCAGATGCATAGCATGTTTCAGTCTCTAGATTCCTCCAGGAGAGAAATCAGGCTTTTGCGCATTGTGCCCGGCGCATGGGTTGACAGCATTGTACTGAAGCTCGATGTCGTATCCCTCGATGCAAAGCCGCAATACCAGGCCCTATCATACGTTTGGGGAAGCGAAGCCGACCCCAAAACGGTGACGCTTCAGGACCAGCCTTTTCAAGTAACTTCCAACCTATATAATGCTCTTCGCAGGCTTAGGAAGTCGAGAGCCTCCGTGGCTCTATGGGTAGATGCCGTGTGCATCAATCAGAAAGACGATCTGGAAAGGACCCAGCAAGTCTCGATAATGAATCATATCTACGAAAATGCGTTTGAGGTCGTCATCTGGCTTGGCGATAGGCTCTCTGGTAGCCAAAGGGGGCTGAATATTTCTTCTGGTACACTCGAAAATGGGCCTCCGTACGTTGCAAATCACGCTAGCATTGGGAATTTCGGCAGACGCGAACATTTCGACAACACGGAAACGGAAGCTGCGGCAGCCTTCACTGTTCTACAGTTACTGGGTGAGCCTGGGCACTGGGACTCGAAAGAGATGTTCGCAGTCAACCAAGAAGGACAGTTTATTGTGGCTGAAATCTATCAAGCAGCTTGGCGGGCTTTCCTGGACCTGATGAGCTGTTCGTGGTGGTCGCGTATGTGGATTGTCCAAGAATTTGTCCTTGCCCGGGAGTCGCAGGTCGTTGTCGGCAATGTTGCTGTGCCGGGACACTTGATCACAGACTTCTACCAAAGCTACATTTCTCACCTTCCATCAGGGTGTTGCTGTCATCTCACAGTCTCCTGGCGGATGACGAGCGATCTGTGGGGTGAAATGATGAACATTCGACGCGCCGACATGGGCCTCAACACTATACGTAACCAGCATCGCGATCACCGAGCTCACGATGGTAGCTTGACGGCCCTGCTGCGGAAGACTTTGTGGATGCTCCGACCGAAGGAAGCCACGGACCCGCGCGACAAGATTTGCGGAGTGTTAGGTCTCTTCCCTGGCATTGGAATAAAGCCAGACTACACGAGCGATGCAGCACAATTCTTCTCATACGCAACCGAGTTCTTCATGAACGCCGAGCAGGGTCTGATGGTATTAGCTGGTCCCAGGATGCGGCGCCCGGGTATGCCATCATGGGCTCCTGACCTGATAGGTGATCCCCGGGACAGGTACTTTCACAGTACAGCAAGGAGAATCAACCTGTGCGATAGATTTAGAGCCTGTGGGGGGTTGAATCTGTGGTATCGACGTGACGGAAGTTACCTGGAGCTAAGAGGGATAAGGATCGGTCTCGTCAAGGCAGCATCGCCGCCCTTTACAGAAGGACATGAAGCAGAGGGGCTGCTCCGTTGGAAGCGAGAGGCAGGCATCTCTGATACCTCCTCTAGAGGTGACTTTTACCCTAGAGGAGGCTCTCAGGGCGATGCGTTCTGGAGAACCGTCATCAGAGATACGATTCTCGATTTCGAAGAGCCAGGCAACGACAGGCGCGCAACATCTGAAGACGCATCGTGCTATGAAGTATTTCTAAATTGGCTGTGCGCAACTGGACATGACGAAAAGACCGAAATAGGTCGCCAAGATGTCAACTTTTCGGGCTTCCAAGACGCCTTCTTCGTCTCTACTATTGGCCAAACCTTCTTCCTAACGGACTCAGGGTGGTTTGGGTTGGGAGAGAGGGTTCTGCCGGGAGACGAGATTTGGATATTTGCCGGTGGAAGAGTACCTTTCTTGATACGTCGCGGCAGTTCAACAACACCTGGGGATGGGAGGTATACACTCGTTGGCGACTGTTATGTGCATGGGGTCATGTACGGAGAAGGGATGCATCATGATATAGACCTTCAGCCTGTATTTCTAGAATGAGTTTCTAGTCATATCTTTCAATCTTATGTACCGGACCTGCTATGTACGTCTTGCGTAATTCACAGATTAGAGTGCAAATGAACCCCATTAGTCTCCTTAAGAGTCCCCTCTTCTGCCCCAGGAGTGTGCCGATACGCATCTGGGAAGATTCCCTCTAGCGTCCCCTTGATCTGCAAAGCAATCACCTTCGAAAACCATCGGTGCTGGCCTGTGCCACCGGCGAACACGTAGATATTGTCCACGTCAAGTTGGCGCTTCCAGAGTCCACGAGTCTCTCCTTCGGCGTCGACACCCCACGTCGACTCCATCCTGCTAGCGATCTGCTCTGCCCCATGTCCGAGGATGTCCGGGAGGCTCTTCCTGACGTCCAAATTTCCGAAGCCTGTGCACCAAACAACAGCATCAGTCTTTACCTCACTGCCGTCGCTTAGAATCACGCCGTCAGCGGAATAGCCTGCTGGAACGACCCCCGAGCGGATGCCCACTTGGCCGGTGGTAATGAGCTCAATGCCCTTGCCCATGTCGACAAAATGTCCGCCGCAGCGATCGATAAGATTTACCAAGAGGTCGCCTGTGAGTGAGTCTTCGACCTGTAAACCAGCCCTTCTTACTTCATCGTATCGTTTTCTGATGTATATTAGCGACTGGATACATCAATAGATCTCATGCAGAAACACTCACGGCTCCTCGATCGCCTGCATGCCGTGGCAAAGGGCGAGCAGAGGACCTCCAACTGCCAGAGGCCCTCCACTGACAACAGCGTCGCAGTCTTCGATGGGGAGAAATTCGTACGCCCCGAGGCCCATGGGATGGGCGAAGTACGACATCGGAACAACGTAAGTCGGCGATCGCTGGACCATGGTTGTCCGGAGGCCGGCCTTGTGACAGTCTGGCATGATGTCGAATGCGGTATTCGCAGAGCCAACTACAACCACAGACTGTAGGGCTGTTAGCATAGTCTCTTTCACAATTAGGTGGACTGTCACACACCTTCGCGCCAGCGTCTACCAGCTGTTGTCCATTTCCATACGCCGTCGAGTGGACGATGGAGCCTCTGAACTTATCACGACCTGGAAGATCTGGCACGTTGATTCCTGAGAATCCAGCGCCTGTCGCCACGACTAGGGATCGGCATGTGACCGCTCGCTCGCATCCCCGTGCACCATCATCGATTTTCACGCTCCATAACTTCTTGCCTTCATCATACGAGGTGGCCACTATTGAAGACTGGTGAAGTATCCGTTGATTGAGGTCAAACTCGTGAGCAAAGGCGTGGATCTGGTCGGCCAGCTCGTCTTTCGTCAAAGCATCACTTGCCTCTTCAGGGTATGCTGTAGGAGAGACCCGAATCAGTGTCCAACCTCCAATAGCAGACAGCGAGGGGGGAATCTCGAGCACTTACGGATGTATGGGGTCTGGCAGAATGACTTGAAGGTATGAAAGCGCATGCAGTCATATCTCAAGCGCCAGTTGTCTCCAACCTGCTTGTTTCGGTCAACGATGGCATAGTCGACATTAAGCGCCTTAAGTCTTCCCGCCAGAATGACACCACTTGTGACGTGTTAGCAGAAGGTTGTCGGGTATCCAGGAGGCACTCACGCGTTGCCTCCCCCGATGACGAGCACATCGGTCCTAAAGTCGGTCTCCGTGGGTAGCGGTACCGAAGGCTGCCGCAACAGAGTTTCGTCCTCCAGGTGATCTTCAAAGTTCGTCAACCATGTGCTCATCGACCAGATCCTCCATTCGCCGTCGGCCCCGTCGGGGAGTAGCATGAGCTTTCCTCTACATCGAGCTCTCGGGGATTCCGTGCTGAAGTAGAAGCTACAGTCGACCCACGCCTATCCGATGTCAGTCATGCTGAAGTGTTTTCTTCAGCTCTGTCACGAGAGGGAACGTACCAGCTCCTCATTCGCCTTCACCACTTGCGCTGCACCAAACTCTACCGCTGTGATCCTCCGCAGTTGGCTGAGCTCCACGAGTGCGGCTGCGACCGTCTTGCTGCCATTGAAGGTCCGCAGATGAGCCGTCAATGCGAGCGTATCTTTCCAGTGCGCCCCGGTCGCATTGCCAGTGAAGAGCTTGACCACGGAAGGTTGGTGTCTTCTCTGGAGGCCTTCGGACAGCTCTGAGACGACGCTCAACCCCACCTTGCTAGCATCGACGCCAGCCCAGTCGGTAGACGAGGTATTCGGAAGCACATCGTAAATCTGGCCCCTGATGTCGACTTTTGGAGGGAATTCGGGATACTCCGCGTGAAGAGCCATGTCGACAACGTTTCGTGGGGACTGCTGACCGTGATACACACATGCAGCCGACACCCAGGAGGGTCTCCTCTCCTTCTTAAACATCAAGGACCCCTCATCCTCTCGCAGGACTAAACACGTCCGCGCCAAAGACAACTCCCACGGACGTTGCCGCTAACGACCGGGCCGCAGATCTTAGCACGCCGCCACCACCAATCGGGACGACTTTCCCCAGACACCAGATGAGGCTTTTGGGGAAGCCCGAGAGACACAAATGTCTCACAGCCTCAGCCAGACGGCGTCCTCGCTAGTCGGCCGTTGCAGACCTGGTCTGCCGACACCTCGCGTCTACGGCTGGCCGAAACGGCGCGCGCTTGGCTCGCTCGCTGGAGAAAGCCACACAGGAGGAGGAGGATGGATTCGCATAAGCTTTCTCCATCCCGCAGGAGCTGGTGCAACCTTGTGGCCCGTCCTGCAGTCACATCGATGCGCAGTGGCACACGTTGATAGGCGTGAAGCGGCCGATATATCTGACGGCCGATGACTCTGCGTCAATGTCCGGGCGCACCACAGCATGTCTCATGTCGCTCTGCGGGCTAGTGCTTAGCCCTCGCGCAGCGCGATGCAACATGTCGGGGCCTATTTTCTCAGGGAAGTCCCTTTTCAACCCCGGAAAAGCACTGACTCTTGCGGGAACTCGGGCCATTGCTAAAGTGACGTTGACATCATGGAGGAAGCGGGGTGGTGATGATGGGGAGGAGACCTTTCAGCCGCCCCGAAGTCCTGCATGCCCCTAAGATATGGCTGACGAGAGCTGAGAACTTTCTATTAGCCGCATACCCATTAGGGCTGCGTTCATGGCTTCGGTCTGGACCAGGCAATTGTAGTTTATTTCGAGGTCAGCATGCATGCATAGAAGAAGAACCTGCAGCTTACATGTGTGCGACGACGATTGTCGACCAAGATGGCGTGGTGCAATCAGCAGAGCGACACCACCTTTAACATCCCAAGGTTTCAACAATCTTGATCAAGCCCATGAGGACCTCCTTGACGACGTAATGTAAAATCCATATTCGTAAAAATTGGGGTAAACGCGGAATAGATCGACTACTACCCAAACGCGCATAACCCTGCAGACACGTTTCTGACGCCACGGCGACTCACGCCGCCCGATGTTTTGTCCCTCTTCCCCCTCAAAGTACGCCGCTCGGTCCCCCGGGCCCTGAACAACCGGAAGGGGTCAACGGAGAAGGCGGGTTCCGCAATTCAGCGTCGGGGAGCCGATTCCTCCTGGTGTTCGACGACGCGAACACGAAGGACAGGCCGAGGCCGAGGCCGAGATGCGTTGCATTTGGACATCCTGCGAATGATTTTGTGAACAGGTGATATGCGCCACCATTGTCTATAAGATGTAATCGAAAGATGTTGTGGGTATAGACTGTGAATGCGCTGGCGGAGGCGTAATGATACTTTCCGTGAGAGGAAACGGCTCCTGGGGCTGACATGGGTGGCACATCGGGGCAAGCCACGGCTGGCCCTGTACTAGCAGCTGACGGTAAATGCCGTTCACGCGATGCTCAGTTGCAGGGAGATATCAGAGACCCCTATTGGTGTGGCGTTGTCGAGCAACACCTTTGGCCATGCCATGTATGGATGGTAGGTCACGTTGGTCACGGCATGAACCATTGAGTGAGGCTGGGTGTATCCGGTGGCCCAAGAAGGTCTGGAAGCTTAGTTGGTGCCTCAAGTTTCCCAAGAGATTCTCGACAACATTAGCAAATAAATGTTGAGATTTCGTCGTTGATGTAGGGTCAACCTGAAAGGAGCATGGATGATGCTGCAGGTGAGATCAGAAGACCGAGCGGACCACTAGATGGGTATCATTAGAACTCGCAAAGCTTACACCCAGTCTCCGACTTTACCATATCTCATGTGAAGCCGCAAATGCATATTGCCCTCATATCTGTCTTTTGCTGAACATTGGGCACACGATTTACTAGTGCTGACCCACAATAGGTTCTAAAACAGATCATATCTGCAGTGAATATTCTGACTGTGTCTACTAGTAGACGAATTCACCCGATCATAAGTCATTCGACGTAATTCCAAGTTTCCCCCAAAACTCCTGCGCTCCATGCGTTCTTCAGATTGCCTCCAACCAACACCGGTAGATGGTCGGAGATATCGATGGTCGATGCCATTCGTGACCTTCAAACCTTCCTTCGCCCATCCTCTCGATGAGGAAGGACCGCTCACTTCGGGCAGTTCGCTGAGTTTCCGCTCCTCTCACACGCTTGTCCCTCCTTCTTCGCACAGCTGCCCGAAGTGCAGAAGAGCTTGACGTTGCCAGCCTGGCACTCGCCCTTTGCCGTGCACGTTCCCTGCTGGGCCTGTGAAGCATTAGTCTCTCATTCCTGAATCGCAGAAGAAGGTGATGGCGAAGCTCACCACGACGGTGGTCGCAAGACCGAAGACGGCCAGGAACAAGAAGTTTGAAATCTGCATGATGATGTTTTTCTTTGGATGGAATCGTTTTCGTGAAATGTGACTGTTGGTTTTTCGTCTGAGAAAGTCCGGACGGAAGTGATACGTTCCAAATGGCAATGATCTACTATTTATCATTCAATATGTCTTTCTCACCCTGGCAGCAGAACAGAGGAAGGAGCAAACACGAACAGGTGTCGCAGGGCGCAATCTATTTGAAGCAGCGTTAACTGCCAGTTTTAAGGTTCCAGAAGCAGCACGAAGGGGCCAACGCCCAGACGGCGACTTTTGACGCTGGAACAGTTCGAAGGACCGCTTTTTTCGCGCCTTGAGCAGTGAAGAAAGGCCTCTGGCAAAGGGCGAGAGCGCGCTGGGTGGGAAGCAGGTGGAACGACGGCGTGGGTTTTGATGCCAGTCTGAGACCGGACTTGGCCGAGCGGCAAGGTTGACCCATCGGCGCTGAGACGTGTCAACTGGGAAGAGGCGTGCGAGGGAGGCGCGAGCTGGGGCCGCTTTCTGGCGCTTGGTGCGGCGACTTTTGCTGTTCACTTCTTTCGGATTGTGTTGACTGTGTCATGGAGTCTTCTTTTCTTTTCCCCGAGGCCAGCATGTCGGGTCGGCGATGTGCACGTGGGGAAGCGAGCTGCTCGCGGTGGGCGTGGTGATGCACGCCAAGGGGACCGGCGATGGCTGGAACGATTGATCGCCCCCTCGGCGCGGGGGGATTTCGCAGGCGATCGGCGGGGGAGAGATCGTTCGGGCTGGGATGCGGCTCAAACGGGACGAAACCGAGGGCGATGTCACTTGGTGGCCATCTGGGCGGATAGACCGGCAGTATGGGTGGTGCTGATCGGCTTGGGCGGCATGGACGTTGGGAATGGCTTCAATACGGGCGTGGTGCAGCGGACCGCAATCACCCGGGTCAAACGGGCGAGCTTCGGTGGGAAGACCGGTCTATCGCGGCACCCGCAACGAACGGGTTCCGAGGAGGTCGCGGGATAAAAGTCCAAGTAAACGGCTCTGTAATTCAAACCGCTCCGAAACAGATGCTGGCAAGGGTGGCATACAGGTTGCGGAGCTCCACCGCGGCCTGGAACCATTGCCGATGCTCCACTGACAAGATCCCGGGCAGTTTGGATGGTTAGTAAGTGATAAGTAAATCGTCGCCCTGAAATCGGGTTCATCAAAAGGAGTGAGAAAGTAGTTTAGAGACCTGGATGGGGGTGCTCGTCTTTCTTCCTTCAACTCTCATGCTCGAAAGGGTAATCAGTTCCGCTGGAAGGCAGTCAGCCAGAAGATGCGACAAGGAGGGAGCCAGAGCTACAAATAATGAGTCCAAGCTTCGTGTCTAGACATCGTATAGGGCCAGTGCTTCGGATGATGGTATGGAAAGCTGCGAGACAAAAAGGCTATGTATCTAAACCAAAAGGTGACAGGAGCAAGAGGATTGGCAGAGTTCACCAGCAACGGCTCGGGCCGGGGGCAGATCGGTCGACGCACATCATACAACTGCACGGCGACACCGGGGCCCGGAGTGTAGCCGGGAACAACGGCGCACCCCGGATATCCAGCCCGTATCACGGCAGCGCGACATGCACAGATACGGGGGAGAGACAACAAGCGGCCCACCCGGCCCCGTTCCGCGGAGAATGCGGCCCGGCTACCGGCATCGCGCGCCTGCACCTGCCCGTTCCAAAACAAGCGGCCCCGATTAAACCCATTTCCAAGGCAAAACTTCGGGCATTCACAATATCACTGCAACTCTAAACCCAGCAGACAACCTCGGGGACAATTCTCCCGCTCTTATCTGAATCGCGCCGTCATCGCATCGTTTCTCCGTCTTCAGCATCAAACACCCCGCGATGCATCTGCGTCAAAACATATCCATTGAGAGAATAGCGTCGCCAGGTGGACGAGTACACAGGTTACACAAGTAAGACAAACACATCCGCCTCGTATCGAAGCTGAGCCAAGCTCCAATCGCTCTGCGTCCCAGGACGATCACTATCCCCTGTCTAGGTAGCGGGGCGCAGCAGCTTGCCCCTAGCTCCTAGCAGTGAAGTTCCACAGCGAATGGCACAACGTCATCTCACCACAGGGGCAGCGGCACAGTCGCACAGCTTCCCCATACGGCGGCCCTCCAACCTCCTCCATCTTCCTAATTACGACGATCATTAGGCAACCGCCCCCGGTCACCTCGATAACCTGGAGCTGAGATCCCCCCGCCCTGCAGCTCCTATCTTTCTGCATCTTTCCCATCTCAATCTCCCGACGATAGCTTCAATCGCAAAGCTCAATTGAGCAAAACAACAGCACCACAAACACCGCCAAGATGCCGGCCTTTCCCCGTTGGAACACGACTCACGATGACTATCCCATCACACCCGCCATAGTCCCTAATCGCCAGGCTCCCCGTCTCACTCCCCGACCGACAACGACGGCAACAGCTTCTCGCTCTACATCCCACACGTCTCCCAAAACCACGTCCTCCTCGGAACCGCCCTCCGACAGCACGACATCCGCTTACTTCGACCACTCTTCCGCCAAACGCGTCGCCACAGACCTCGTCGTCACCAAAGCCCTCAAAGCCCAATACCCCAACCTGCAGCTGGTCGTCGTCCCCGAGCAATTGGGCTACGGCGCCGCCACCTGCGACCTGCTCTCGTACGCCGCCGCCGGCTTCGCTTCCTATGAGCCCCTCAACGATGACGGCGGCAACGGCACCGACTCCCTCGAATGGACCGTCTACCTGCCCCCCGCCCGCCGCATGGACGGCAACCTCGGCGCTCTTGCCAACAGCATCGTCTACGGCAAGTACCTCTACAAGTGGCAGGGTCACGAGTTCATCGTCTACCTTGTCGATGGCCGCGACGGCACCACGGGCTATGTTACAACAAAAAACTTCTACGTTCTCGCCCCCGAGACGTACCATGTTGACCGCCTCGTCCTCGCTGCCGGATCATGGAGCGAGGACCTGCACGACGAGGTGTGGGTGTACGACCAAGGCTCCTGGCAAAAGAGCCGCGACCTCTTCGAGAGCACGAGGAACGCGTCGTGGGAGAACGTTATTCTCGATGCGGACATGAAGAAGGCGCTGATCGACGACCACCTGTCATTCTACAACTCGCGCGAGACGTATCAGAACCTCAAGGTCCCGTGGAAACGGGGTCTGATCTATCACGGCCCGCCAGGCAACGGCAAGACCATCTCCATCAAGGCGACAATGCGCATGCTTTACGAAAAGAAGATCCCCACGCTGTACGTGCGGACGTTGACCTCGTACGCTGGGCCGGAGTACTCGCTTGGACAGATCTTTGGCAAGGCGCGTCAGTTTGCACCCTGCTACCTTGTCTTTGAGGACCTTGACACAATTGTGTCAGACGATGTGAGGAGCTATTTCCTGAACGAGATGGATGGGCTCAAGGCGAACGACGGTATCTTGGTCATCGGGAGCACAAACCACTTGGACCGTCTCGATCCTGGTATCTCTGTAAGTCCGCCAGTACTGCTGTGAAGGCGCGAGCCAATGACTGACCAAATACAGAAACGCCCATCTCGCTTCGATCGAAAGTACTACTTCCCCGACCCCGACCTCGAGCAGCGCGCTGCATACTGCAAATTCTGGCAGAAGAAGCTCAAGAGCAACAAGGAGATTGAGTTCCCCGACAAGCTCTGCACTGCCATTGCCAAGATCACCGACAAGTTCAGCTTTGCGTACATCCAGGAGGCCTTCGTTGCTGCTCTTCTGGCCATCGCGCAAAAGGAGGATGACCGGAAGATTGATGATATTGAGGCTCTGACGGAGCAGCTGGAGGACGACTGGCTCGGTGTCGTTGACGCTGCAGCTGACGATGAGGGTCTGGACAAGCTTATCCTGTGGGTCGAGATCAAGAGGCAGATCGAGATTCTCCGCGAGGGCATGGAGGACAAGAAGTAAGCCAAGCATCCTGGCATTGTCAGTATTGCATCCCTTGGCATAATGAGGAGTTCCAGGCTGTAAGAAGTAATGAATCAAGACGAATACCTTCGTATCATGAGGCTACTGGCTTTGTGATGAGGACCCTACGTCCCCCTGTGCCGAGGATGTGGCTACTCTCGCTGAATGATACTGTCGTATGAGCTCTGGTCCTTGCGAGAAGAGCGACTCTATACGCAACAACACAGGCCGGATCAGCAACTTTGCGACGTCGTCAGCCTGCCTCTCTAGCCTGTGCAAGGATGAGCGGAGGGTCTGGACTAAACTCCAGGCAGACTGAAGATCTAAAGTCTTGGGTTGTTGCAGGAAGAGGAAGATGATGAAGTTCCCGCAAAGTATCAGCTGGGACCGAGCATCTGCGGTCATAAGTCAGTCATGACTAATGCCAGCGATGGACAACAGTGGGTGAGATTTGACTTACGGCGGCCCCAGAAGCCCTGCAGATCCTCGGCCGTGACCTTGTCCATAAACCTTGCGAAGGCTTGAAACTCGGCCACGGCGGTGCCAAACCAGCGGCAAAGGTTCGAAGAGGGATCATTCTTCGCTTCATTTGTCGCCGGGCTCATGAGTGCCCGAAAGAGAAGAGCCTGATAGGCATGGTAAGCCAAGTGGAGGGGCGCTAGCTCTGCTCGTCAGCCATACTTTGCCCCTTTCTTTTGGAAATCCATGTGACGGACCATTGTTGGATGAGCCGGTTGCCCTTTCGGGAGCAGGCATCAGCAGACCATGGGGTAGCATGTCTCCCCAGTCCCTGAGTGTCTCTTTCACTTCAAGCAATCGCGCATGATCTGTCGCTTCCTCAGGCCTCGGTGGCCGTAATCTCGGTACCTGACTGAAAGATATCAGTCTGTCGAACCTCGAAAGGCCGGAAAAGCATTCAGAATAGCATCTAGAGTGGAAAGGGATGCTCACAAGCTACAATCAATCAGATCCCGCACCGTCTTACTGATTTTCACCAACTCCAGAAAACGCGCTCCGGTGGATACGTGGAAACGAGCACTACTAGGATCCACCATGATCTGGACGTCCTCGGACAGATCTTCATCGCTCCTTAAATCCTCCATGACGATCACAGAAGTATTGAAGGATGCGGGATAGATGTGTGGTGGGTTCCCATGACACACGGCCGACCATGCATCTGTGACATAGGTCGCCCACCAGAGCTTCCTGCGTAACCTCTTTTCCCAGGGTGCGAGGGACCACCGCTCTGGGTCCTGGTGTAGTCCGATCATTTGTGCTATAGCAACAGCCTCGGCAGTCGAGGTCCAGGTCCGTGGATGCTCAATGCTGTCGACATGGTTGGGCTTGACGTGCAGCAAGAGTAGGCTAGCCTGTAACTTGGCCAGGTTCGGGGAGTCAAGCTCTCGCTGCAGAGAGTCGGTCGCATAATCGGCAAGCTGGTGTTGCTGGAAAGGAAAGGGTCCCTTCAGGGATGGATCTTTCTTCTCGAAGACGGAGGCCAGCGCATAAACCGCCCCTCTGAGAGACGCTGGTAGCTTGGTCTTATCGGAGGCGTACTGCCTCAGGAACCTACCCTTGGAGAGGACCGGGAGGACGGGATGAACGTGCTTGAAGTAGAGCCTGAGCAGAATGGGCCCGTACGGCCCCACGAGGCCCTCGATGGCGTTCGAGGCAACCTGCTTTGCGGCGTTGTCGTGTGGCGCGAACTCGTCTTGGAGCAGGCAGAAGTGGACTGGAGGATCCCAGGGGTACTTGGTACCGGCGTAGACTTGGATCATGTCGGCGTCAATATCATCCGGACTGCTCATGACGCCGGATGGAATGGAGTCAAGAACGTAGGTATCTTGCTCTGCAGCCGGGCCCATGCTGTGGGCCGTCCGATTCTCGTTGTCTTCCAGGGTCCATAGTCCTGTTGCGCCCAGGCGAGAGCCGGTGACAGGAGAGCCAACGACAGGGTCATGACTGGCATCACCGGGTGGTGAATGGCTGGTTACAAGACTCGTATCTGTGTTTGATTCAATGTGATTGCGTCCCCGACCAGCAGATGCTGGTGTCGCCGAATGTGCAGGGTCTAGCAGCAGTACATCGGGTGTTCGAGGGTGGGCCTGGATCGCTGCTGTTGGAGTGGACGAGGATGGACCCGAGGGTGTGGTTGATGTGCACTCGAGTCCTCGCCCCTTGCAGAAAAGACCTGTCTTCAGTCAATCGGGCTGTTCGGGATTGGAGGATGTAGATACGTACAAGGCGGCACAGATGTAATGACACACACTGTCTTCCTCTTCCGACAAATGTCGCAGGGTCTGTTCTTGCGACTCCTCCACTGCCTAGCGCTGCCAAATTCGCTCTGGACTTTGAATTTGCGTCGTCGCGTATCCCGTGTACTGCCATTGGTTGACATACTTTGTGATTTGTAACTGATTGGTGAGCGAAACGCAAGATCGTGGGTTGGGCTTGGTTGGAAGGTTGGCCGACGTTGGCTGAGAAGGGGAGAAAGTTGGCCGATATCTCAGGGTCCAGTTAGCCGATGGTCGGACCTGCCTGTGTGAGCGGTGGTTTGTCATTGCTGTTAGTGGATTTCTGGGGTTGCATCCACCGCTGCAACCCGAGGGCGGGGAGCGGCCGCCGATCCCCGTCACCCACGTGATGGCCTCACAGTACTGCATCTTCTCGGTCGACTCATGACGGCTTTATAAAAGGACTACGTCAAAAGAAAATCACATCTAAGTAGTTTGAAGTGCTTCATGTTATTGGTTGAAGAAGCAAAAAAGCTTTTCAGTTTTCTACGCTCTGTGCCCATATGGAGCATCGAACCAGAGCGCCGTGCAGAAGTGAACAGAGCCATCTGATCAACGGTATATTTTTAGGTGCTATTCTACCGACCAGGCCATATGCCAGAAAGATGTCCCGGTAGCTGTTGCGATCCTAAGGTGATTTGTTCCCTAAGTAGGTACGGTCGCAGTTCTGAGAAGGAGCGGCAGAAGGAAAGCAGCGACGGAGGAAGGCACGACCCTTCCTTATACCATAGGAAGGTGCGCCTGCCCAACTCGAACCCCCTCTTCAGGTGACATACGAAGGCTCTAGAGCCCCGTTGAACTTCTCTGCTTCAACCCCCTCCCCCCAAGAATTCGAAAGAAACATCACACATCAGTCTTTGACGCGAGTGTCTCTCCAGTCTTGCCCCCATGGCCCGAAAGCACATCAACGACATTTGGTGTTTCTGCCAACGTAACATCCCACTTCCCAAGATGGAACTCCTGAAGTTCTCTCGCGGATGGTGCCGTCTTGACGAAGGAGTCAAGCGCCTTTGCCGGAAACAATCGATGCAGCACGGCGTAGACCAGCCCGCTAGACAGAAGTCCATACACATACGACATGTAGTACAGCTCAGTTGCTCCGGGGCTGACAGTCACCGAGGAATCCACCGCTGCCACAAATCCAGGCATACAGGGCACCACGCCCACCAGCCACTTTCTATGGTCAGTATGGCTCTCTCGGTCGAGGATCAGCAACTTACCGCTACGGGGGCACGCCAGTTGCATCCATACGAGAACCAATAGATGCTTCCCGAGTCGCCACGGTAAAGATCATCAACATCGATCTTCCTCTTGTTCACAACTAGGTAGCTGGAAATCATGAGGCCAGTCATCGGCGCAAGGAAGACGCTGTAACTCGACAGGACCGTCAAGAACGTCGTGGCCGTGTTCACAAGCCGCCAAGGATTGACAATGACGCTGAAAATGGCCGTGAGGTACGCCCCTCGACGGATGTTGAGGTACCTCGGGAACGTCGCAGCAAGGTCAAAGCCTCCAGCGAGGGCATTACCGGGCACGTTGACACCAATCTGGGAGATGACGAGGCACAAACCAGCGAAAAAGCATGCCGCACGTGTCCCCGCCGTCTCGTTCTGCGCCAGCAGCTGTGCAAAGAGCGTTGGTGGATTCCAAATGGCCTCACCACCGAACCGATCCTGGGTCGCTGCCGTCACCAGGATGCCGATCAACGAGCTTAGGATGCCGTAGAACGGGAAAGACACGGCTTGTCCCAAGATGGCATGCTTTGGTTGAGTCGCAAAGCGAGAGTAGTCGTTTTGGTTCAAAATTCCGGCTGCGATGGACCCAATCGTCGAGACAATGCCATATACCATCAGCCACGCCACGCTATCCGGTCCTCCGGTGTTGGGCAGGGGAGAACCAGATGTTATGGTGTCGCCGAACCCAGCAGGTCCCATGGTCGCCAGGGCCCAGATGAGGAGAACAAGAAAGAAGACGAGCGTGATAGAGCAGGCGAAGCGAAAGAACATCTCGAGGCGGTGCGGACGGATCCATATCACCGGCAAGCTAATCACACTGAAGATGATATAGGAAACGAATTGTGCTGTCGTCATGCCCGTGTCTGAGGGGATCGTGTTGGGGATGTGCGACTCGAGGCGCGGATCCCAGGACAGGAGGATGAGGTAGACGCATTCGCCACCGACCCAAGCTGTGAAGCCGTACCTGCGATGCCGTTTTAGTCCATGCATTGTAAATTCTCGGATTCCGTACGACGTACCAGACTGGAGTACATCAGTTAGCTAGAACGAGGTGGTTCAGGATCGCAGAGACTCACCAAGAGACAGGAAGATTCGATTCCAGATCACGAACTGGGACCCCCACATCCCCCATACTGCCCGGCTAAACACAGGAAATCCGACTACGATCATCAGCTCATCCCACATGTCCAATATGGAAGACAGGCAACATACGGTGGTAGTAGCTTCCAGGGAGGGAGTTGATGATTACAACACCCGTTGCAATGAGGTTCCCCAGGACAATACCTGCAGCCCGTCAGCGAGTCATTTGGATTCCGATACAACCCATATCTCACATATGAAAGCCTGCCACCAAGTGAGGCCAAGCGGGATCAAAGCACTCCCAGTGAGGTAGGTGGTGATGTTGCAGTTCACCAAAAGCCCTGTTCAGGGGTAAGCCGACGCTCTCCACGCAATCGTGTGCTTGCTCACAAAAGTTATGGAACATCAGGAAGCCCCATGTTCGCCTCTTAGACTCGATAGGGCGAATGTCGTCGTTCTGCCGTGTTGTTAGCAATCAAAACCAGCATCCGAGTGGTGGTGCCACTGTGTGGAAATGCGGAGGCGGGTCAACTCACGATCCATCGAGAAACAAATGGGAGTTCCACCCTCTGCAGGAACCCCATTGTCGATTGCGATTACTGCGGCACAATTCTTTGAGCAATGCGACACAAAGCTGCCTACGTCCGTCGTCTCTGAATCGACGACGGCAGCCAAAGGTGCAGAGCCAGAGTCATATAAATCTCCAGGCCCGGCATCGTTATCTCGGCATTGGATCACCTCAACCAAGCGGCGCTAACGGGAATACTTATCACTGCCAATTTTGACAAGGGCCGTTATCTAGCGCGTTGTTGCGGAGACTAGCTGGGGTCACCCTGTGCTAAAACAAGTTGGCCGATCGCGGTGGGCTTCGATCGGGCAACTTCCCGCGGCATGGGGCTGGCAGGGGAAAGCCGACCACTCAAGGGTGTTGACAGCTTCAATCCACTCGCAATCCACTGACACAATGAAAATGCGACGCCGAAGGTTTCCCGATCTAATCTCTTAGACCCCTCGATGGATATGATGCTGCAACTGACATCGTGGCTTGCAATAAAGCTGTCGGCCAACTAAGAACAGCGTCCCATAATCATCAGGATAAAAAAGACACGCATTTCCTAGACGAACGCAACAAACGACACACCCTATCGGCCGGGCAATCCCAAAACTCAGCCATCATGTCTCTTTACCGTATCGGCGTCGACGTTGGCGGCACAAACACCGATGCCGCCATCCTCGACATCACAGCCCCCAGCATCCCCGGCCGCGGTGTTCTCGCATCTCACAAAGCCTCGACAACACCGGACATAACCAGTGGCATCGAGTCAGCGATACGAGAAGTCCTGACGACGTCTGCTGTCGACCAAAAGAAAGTTCTCAGCGTCACAATCGGCACGACGCACTTCATCAATGCTTTGGTCGAGGCCGACACCCGCAGACTCAGCCGTGTTGCTGTCGTCCGCCTCTGTGGCCATTTCACGAGACAAATACCGCCCTTCTCTGACTTCCCGTCCGGCCTGAGGAGAATCCTAGACGGAGGAGTATATTACCTGGATGGTGGGCTGGAGATTGACGGCCGAGAGATTGCGCCACTAGATCATGAGCAAATCAGAAAAGCCACGAGAGAGATTGTTGCTGCCGGTGTGCAGGCAGTTGCTCTCGTCGGTGTTTTCGCGCCTCTGGATCATGCTGGCGTGCACGAGGAGACCTGCAAAAGGATTATCCTGGAAGAAGCGCCGGGGCTGGACGTCGTCTGCTCTCATGACATTGGCCCACCTGGCTTGCTCGAGCGAGAGAATGCCACGATTCTCAATGCAGCCATCCTCAGAACAGCGCAGAAGGTTACGCGTGGCTTCAAGCGAGCAATGGCTCGTCTGAGGCTGGCTTGCCCACTGTACCTGTCGCAGAACGACGGCACGCTCATCGATGCGGATACTGCAGCGGAGTATCCTATCAAGACGTTCGCCAGCGGTCCGACGAATAGTATGACCGGTGCTGCCTTTCTTGCAGGCCTAGACAAGGTCAAGACAATGACCACAGATCCTTCTGGCGTCTCAGGTGCCGACGCGGTTGAACCGCAAGTCTTGGTGGTTGATATCGGTGGCACAACAACAGATGTCTGCGCCCTACTTCCATCAGGTTTCCCGAGGCAGGCCCCTGGGTTTGTCGAGGTCGGCGGGGTGAGGACGGCTTTTTCCATGCCAGAGGTTGTCTCCATTGGTCTGGGCGGTGGTAGCAAGGTGGGAGTGCATCCCACATCAGGAGACGTTACTGTTGGTCCTGGTTCGGTTGGTCACTTCCTCATGCAGCAGTCAAGAGTGTTTGGCGGCTCCACGCTGACTGCAACGGACGTTGTCGTGGCCTCTGGCAGGGCCCAGCTCGGAGACGCCGGTCTAATCAAAGACGTACCCGCAGAAACAATTGAGAAGGCGCGTCAAAGGATCAAAACCATGCTCGAGGGTGTCATTGAGCAGATGAAAGTATCTGCCGCCCCGGTGCACGTTCTTTTGGTAGGCGGGGGAGCGCTCCTCGTCACGGAGGACTTCGACGGCGTGGAAAAGTGCATTCAGCCGATTCACCAAGGCGCGGCCAATGCTGTTGGAGCCGCGATTGGTAAAATTTCTGGAGAGGTCGACGTCATCGAAATTTTGGAGGGCAGAGATGAGAAAGCTGTTGTCACAGAGACTTGCCAGAAGGCAATCGACATCGCTGTCCAGAAGGGAGCGGCAGCGGATGATGTCCGCATTGTGGAGGTGAACAAGATGCCATTGCAATATGTCGACAACGGGGCTATGAGGATCCAGGTCAGAGCGGTGGGCAAGCTCTGCGTACCGGAGAGCCCTGTGTTTTCCCCAGAGAGCGGTGACACTGCTCTGGAGGAGGAACAGGAAGACGAGGCAGTGAAGGAAAGCGTGCCTGATGCCTTGAGTTCCACAACAAAACCTTCACTCCATGTCGATCTTGAAGTGTATCGACCGAATGTGAAGGATGGGGTTTGGTACGTTTCTGAGGTAGATCTTGAGCTGATTTCGACTGGATGCGGTGTTCTGGGCACCGGAGGTGGAGGACCGACGCATCATGAATTCCTCAAGAGTCTCCAGGCTTTGAGAACGAGTGCGACAGGCAAAATGCGAATCATCTCGCCGAAAGCGTTGAGAGACGAGGACATGGTCTGCTTTGGATCGTGGTATGGCACACCGAGCGTCATCAACGAGAGAATCGCTGGTGGCACGGAGATTCCGAGTGGCATTGACGCAGTCACCAAGATTCTGGGAATCAAGTCTCTCAACGGCATTTTCATCGATGAGATGTAGGTTGCCAATCCATGCTTGTGAATTCGCAGACTGACCGGCGTTAGCGGCGGCGGAAACGGCCTGAGTATTTTTCCTACGGGTGTCCACTACGACATCCCCGTTGTGGACGGCGATGCCATGGGAAGGGCGTACCCGACGATGTATCAAGGTGAGAGAATTTCTTTGGGTGACAAGCGTTGTGTAAGGAAGACTGAACTGACGCCCTTGTCCAAACAGCCACTCTGAGTGTTTACGGCCACCCCTTGACTCCCTGCGCTCTCTCAGACGCGAGGGGCAACGTCTCTGTTGTGATGGTAAGACTCTTTCCCCAGGCGCTTTTCATCGTTTACTAAGATTATATGCAGAATACTGATACCCCCATACGTCTAGAGCGCTTCTTGCGGACCGCCGCGATTGAACTTGGCCTTGGATGTGCTGTATGCGCCAGACCGCTTCCCGGGTCTGCCATCAAATCGCATGGCGTTCCCAATACAGTGTCGCAGGCATGGTACCTTGGACGCGCGGTCCATATGGCTCGGAGGAGGAAGTCAAGCTATATCGATGCGATCGTAAGTCTTGTCTCGAGAACGCTCACTCTATCACTGCATTCCTAACACTTCAATGTCCAGTTTGATGTTTGTGCCGGCAAACTCCTCTTCACCGGAAAAATCGTCGATGTCAGACGCTATGTCGGCGGGGGCTACACGATGGGAAGCGTCCTTCTTGCCCCCCTCGCTGAGGAAGAGCGCGATTCCGATGCTCGGGGATCCTCGAACGCCGATCGCCATATGCTCATCCCTTTCCAGAACGAGTACCTCTATGCCGCTCTGACGGACTCTGAGGGATCTGAACATGATCAAGAAGTTATCTGCACCGTGCCGGATCTCATCTCCATTCTTGGCCAGGATGGTGAAGCGATCGGGTCGCAAGATCTGCGGTACGGCCTACGCGTCAATGTAATCGGGCTACCTGCGCATCCCTTGTGGAAGACGGAGAAGGGAATGCCAGTGGGAGGGCCGAAGGCCTTTGGACTGGAGATGCCCTTTGTTGGGGTCGGGGAGTACACGGAGCCAAGGAGCGTCATTGAGGAGTTTGCAGCGTAGATGTGGACGAAAGCCTATCGCCATGGCAGCCAAAGCATACCCATTCAGCGGAAAAGAAGACAGCTGCGTACTCAATCGTGTCTATTGCTATCGTGTTTCCTGGGTTCGGACGTGCTGGCAGCCCAACGAGGGGCCCTCCTAAGAATCCAGACCAAGCAAAGCTATCCTTGATGCAGTAGACCTATCACCTCTCGCAGAATTGAAGGCGACTCTCGCCCGGAAACATCCTCTCCAAATTCTGAAATCGTGAGAAGCCCGGTGAGGGAAGTCGGGTATCAGGCAGTGTAGTAGCACCAAATCTCGCGATCAAGTCTCGCCTAGAACCAAGTAGTCAGTCACATGAACACAACATCATCGCCAGGAGTCGCAGACTTACTTTTCCATCATCCTTCAGGTATACCGTCTTGCACCACGGCGCATCCTCATCCGCCTCCTTCTTGGTCCAGTGGTTCTCCCACTCGACGACCCTGCCCGCCATCTCCGAGCGGAAGTCGATGGTGAAGAAGCCCATGCGGAACGTCATCTTGAGCGAGCCGCGCTTGTTGCCGTTCTGGTCGTCGAGCACGAGGACGGCGGGCAGGTCGGTCCTCTCGGGGGCGGTGTAGACGGTGACGACGTTGTTGTCCTCGTAGGTGGCTATGACCATGATCTGGTGCTTGTTCTCGGTGTACCAGATTCGCTGGGTGAAGCGAACGATGCGCTTTGTCGGGCCGGGGAGGTTGGAGTCTGTGGGGAGACGGGGATGGACGTCGGGTGCGGTAAGGGCGGAGGAAGAGGGAGAGACGATGATTGTTTGGGTGCTGTCGTGGAATTGGGTTATGGTAGCTTGGGCGGAGGCCGTCACGACGACGACGGCGGGACCATCCGGGGTGGTAGAGGTGGAGGTGGAGGAAGAAGCGACGGCCGACGGGTCGAACCATTCTGTGACTGTCGCTTTAGCGGTCTTCGTGACCCAGGCGGTTCGAGCGGAGTTTGAAAATGAGGATGACGAGGAGGAGGAAGAGGTTGATGACGAGAAGGATGAGGACGACGAGGGTTGAATCCATTCCGTGACTGTGGCCTGAGAGGTTTGGGTTACCCAAGCGGTGTGTTGGGCCTTGGAGGAGGGAGAAATGGTAGAGTCCGCGACGCTGGGTGTGCTTTCCGTTCCTGGCCAGAGGACCACGATTGTGCTTGAAACCACGACAGTTGTAATTTTGCGAGTCGAGGTTGATGATGAAAATGCCACGGAGGACGTCGAGCTGGGATCATTCGTAGTCGAGGTCGAGGTTGAAGTCGAGATGGCAGGCTTCGAGGGCTCGGTGGTGCTCCTGGAGGCAGTTGTGGATGTATCGGGGGCGGCAGCTGCGGATGAGGAGGTATGGTTGATTGCAGAGCTCTGGGTGCCCGTGGTGGAGGTGAAGGAAGTCTGGCTTGAGGAGAGGGAGTTGGAAGAAGAAGAAGGCTTGGGCTTTTCGGCGGTCGGTGTAGAGCTGAAGGAGCTGGTCTGAGAAGAGGCGAGAGAGCTGCCACCAGGCGCCGTGAGACTGATTCCACCTGTTGCGATGGTGCCCAAGGAGGCTGGGATGGACAAAGGCGGAGGGCGAGTAAGCAGGGAGCTCATGGATTGGGGAATCTCAGTGGCGTCGCAGGGGATCCCCAGTTCAATGTAGGTTGAGACGGTGGTTGTGAACACGATGGTTTGTATTTCTCGACGGTCGAGGCCCGGCGCGGGAATGCTGGAGACTTGGTTGATGAGGGCTGAATGGGCAGCCTGGAAGGAGGATCTGTCCACACGCTTGTGGTGATCACCTGAAAAGAGGACAAAGTCAGTATTCTGGGAAAGACACGCGAGCAAGGGAGATCTTTACCTTGAACATGAGCCTGGCAGGTGCCGGTAAGCATCGTGACAGAAAGCATATAGAGCAGGCCATGGCACCAGGCCTTCCAGGAAGGCTTGCGCGCGTCCATTGTTAGCTTCTAATGCGCACGATTGATGTGATGTTGGAAAAGAGTTGTTTTATTTTGGCGGATGTGAACATTTGTGAAGGTGGGAGAAGCAGGGAAGAGTGATGGGTCGTAGGTGGTGAGAAAGTTGCAAGGTGAGGACAAAGATGGGTGAATCTTTGTTTTGTTAGCCTGAGGAATGAACGAACCGCGATTCGCTATGAGAAAGGCATGAGAAAAAAAGAAGAGGCAAGGAGACTGTTTTTGTGGTTCATATTTTAATTTTCATGGCAGTGAATATGGGAATATGGGAGGCTAATGCAGTTCTGGGATGAAAGGTGAAGCGAAGGTCAGTTGTCTGAGATGGAGGAAGGAGGTTATGTTGAAGAGCGTTCCTTCTCCAGTTTTAGATGATAACAACCTGTTTTTTCGTGCTATTCGAAGCAGCAGATTGCAACATTACTGCAATATCCTCATCCATACTGGTGACAAGGCCTATTCGCCGGTATTCTTTCGCATTGCCTGTGTCTATGTCGACAGGCTTGAGCAACATTCCAGTTGTTTCTGTCACAACGCCGAATCCGTCACGCGCTGCATTTCGCTTCCTAGACCTCTCCCTCTTCAAGGGCAAAATATGGACTTGTCCCGACTGAGCCAATTGATCATCCAACGTGTCAACCGACACTGATATCGGAGGCGTCGTGTCAGTAGGAAACTCGTCTGCTGACAGGATTATCTCAAAATCTCCAGCCCTCATGTATCGACGGCTGATGACGATGCCGCTTAGCGTAAGCGAACCGCCGATGACACTGACTGTAGAATCTTGCCCGATGCTCTCAACGCTGGCATCAATGAGCTTGACCCAATATTCTACCTTATGAAGTGGCTTCGGTGATCTGATATCGATTGGCCCATCCACTGAAGCCCAAGACCACGATGGGGCTCTGTAGCCACATGCAGGTCTGGCTTGAGGTGGGACGACAACCCAAGTGAGCTCGTGCAGAATCCTTGACTTCCATATTCCCGCAAGATAGGTGTCTCCTGATGCGCGGAGGAACAACTTGGCTACTCCAGCGAATGCAGCCAATTTGTCACTGGGCCGGGTGAGATCGCATCGTGAGTACCTGCCTACCAGTCTGACCCATGTATTAATTAGCCTCCTCCGCAGTGAGTAATCCATATTCCTCGTCAATGTCTCGATGAACTGTATTGAGGTCGTATCGAGATCGCTTCAGGGTGTACTCGTAAGGAATGCCATTTCTGAACGCTTCACATTTGGCTATCGGTTGATGGCATTCCCAAAGAATCTGTTGCGACATAAAGTAGAGCATTCTTGGCGCCAGGAACCATTCCTGAAGAACCCAACCTCGTTCCATCAAGGTACCGGGGTCCAGTTGTCGCTGAAAGTATCCCATGCGGGTAACATAGTAGTCCGTTACCTTTGATGAGCCTATGCTGCTAGGCATTATTCTGTGTCGCAGTTGGTCCGGATCCCGATCCCTAAACAGACCATCTCGAGGGCTTTGTCCGTCCACCGCAGCAACATTACAAGCCGAGTGGCTATAAACCTCTGCCATCAATGCCGCCTCGCTCTCCCAGTCTTCAGCGGAATCTTGCATGATGCATAGGCAGTCTATCCAGACGTGTCGAGCCGAAATAATGCGCCACCGTAATCAGGCCTTGAAATGTCGGTGGCATTTCCCTGATAGCCTGCCCTGAGAGAAAGGGTATCATGGTTTCAGAGAGAAGGAGAAGGTCGGAGTTTGGTCCCCATCGGTAACTCAACGTCATGTAGGGAGGATACTCGACATGCTGTGGCACATCTTCAGCGGGTATAATAAGCCTCCATTCGGTACTTCCGAGCCCTCCGACATCCAGAAGTCGAGTCGGAAGCCACTTGTTTCGTGTAGACGCGCACTCTTTGTGGCCCTCAGAGCAGTGTCGATACCAAAGTTTGGCAAGGCTTAGTGTTGATTCCGAAGCGGTACTTCTTTCCAAATTCCTTAGAGAAAAGAGAATATCGTTGCCGCATGCTTCTTCTCCTTCAGGTTGGTCATCTTATCGTTGTTAGCGTCGGTCAGGGCAAGACTTCGGCCAAGAGGACAAAACACGTACCATGGCTGTCAATGCGGTACAGTTCGACCCGAACATTGTCAAGGACACCAGTCAAGGGACTATGGTAGAAGACACTGATTTGAATCTCTGTTGGTGGCGATTCAAATTCTTCTTGATCGACATCGTCGATATGATACTGCAGGCCTTTCCAATGGTCGAATCGTGCTGTTTCCCATGCGGCGGGGTGTTCCTCGGTAGCATTCCAGACCAGGTTACATATGTAGCACGTCTGGGCCGTTTGCTTGAAAACGTCCAGTGATTGGCCAAGGGGCGTGATTCTCGCGCCCTTATAAATCCGGGGTTCTGGTGGTGGTAGGAGAACCTGCGCACATACTGCACAAGGCTCACTCTTCACAGCCATTCCTGTTGGAATGCGTAATTCCCCGAAATAGGATTGATGAGGGGAAACTGAGGTACGAAGTGAAGGTTAACCTACCTGACGACAAGTTGTGAAGGGCCAATATACGTGCATGCATGTATTTAGGCTGCCAGATAGCTGTGCCAAGGATTACGGACCCCCACAAATCCCCTCACCATCTCATGAAGCAGGCAGCTGCTGCCTACCAGTCCCTCAACATGAGGCTATTTTATCGGGAGAATGAAGCAGCTTAGCTGCATATCTTAGCTGACGCTGTAGCAGCCTCCTCACGGTGGGTATGCTAGCTCTCGCGCATACGGCGAAGCATTTATTGATGCCATTCGATATCAATGAAGATGTCAGCAGCCACCTTTTAACATCTGCGTAAACCCGTAGGATAGAGATACGCAGGCATCCACAAAAGGGGTTCAGCTATTTTCTCACTACCTGATACAACAGGCAGCCGTATATTCCTGTCAATAAATAAAGCTGGCTTCCTGAGCAACACGCCACCAGACGTCCCTGTTCCACTCAGTAAGAGCCCAACTAAAGATGGCGGCGCCCCGTGAGACTGCGGAAGATGTTCGCTCTGGATTATGCGCGTGGATGAATACAACAGTATTCAAGCCGGTGTCGCTCAACCCGTTGACCGGAGGTCAATCAAACTTCACCTACCACGCGCACTTGGAGCAACGAGTAATGGCTCAAGATGATTCCGGCAGAGACATCAGCGAAGTCGTTGTCAAACATGGAGAACCATACATGGCTAGGCATCCGAGTAATGCGATAACCACCGACCGTTGTGTATGTCAACCAATCCGTCTGAATCTCTTTGCTAACCTGCCATAGTTCGTCGAGGCAGCTTGCCTGAAGCATCTGCATGCGCTCAAGCCCCTTCACCAGACATCTCAGAGCTCTCGCTACCGCGTGAGCACTCCCGAATGTTATCTATACGACGACAAAACCAAAACACAGATTCAAGAGTATCTGCCAGGGACTCTGGATCTGAAAAGCATTGTACTGAAGAGCTGCGAGGAACCTCTTGGCGTGGTACAGGAGCAACACTATCGTCACATCGGTAGGGCGTTGGCAGAGTACATAAGTCAATTTCACCAGAACACGAGCCCGGTAGCTCGGGCCCACGCAGAGGAGGGAACCAGTCCTCACCTGTCGACTCTTCACGAGGCAATCAGCCGCAGCAGTGAAATGCAGGATCTGAAGCTCATGGTCAACTATGACTGGCTGCTGGAACGTATTGAGCAGTTTCCAGACATCTTGAAAGACGCAAAAGATGTTTTCGTGCGTCTAAGAGAGCAGGGTATCGACGAGCTGAAAAACGGGTCCGCGGCGTCGACGGTCATCCATGGAGACTTTTGCCCACAGAAGTAAGTTGGCGCCTCACAAACATCTGGAATCGGACATTGACCCAGGACCAGCATACTGATTCGTAACGAGTCACCTTGGGATGGAAAGGAGACCGGCCTGTTTGTTGTGGACTGGGAAAATGCCCAAATCGGTGTGCCCGCCATGGATCACGGCGAAATGATCGGAGAACTCTACTCAACCTGGCTTTACGATGGCTCCGATGCAGGCATCCACGTTATTGAAGGGTATGCTGCAGGTTTGGGATCTCTACCGGTAGACGTTGCCCTTCGCATTGCTGCTCTGGTGGGCGTGCATCTCCTCAGTTTTGGCACACTTGCACAAGACAAGTCCGAGTTACAGATCGACCGCGTCGTACGGGAGGGAAGAGACATCATCGTCAACTCTTGCAAAAAGGACCAGGCGTGGTTCAAAGACCATGTTCTCGGGTGTCTATTCACGCGCTAAAGCACTCGTGGGACAGACAGTATCAAATCTGCTGAGACTTTCCTATCCGCCTCAAACCTTTATTGCTCTTGGCTTGAAATATCATAAGCTCGTAGCAAATGAATTTCAATACTCTCTCGCCATGATATCGGCAGCCTGCTCAGCAAGAGCGAATGTGGCCACTTGAAGATGAGCAGAGATAACGACCGGAAAGACTGACGCATCCACAACACGCAGGCCTTGCACCCCTTTGACCTTGAGATCGCCATCAACTACCTTTCCCATCGCTATCGAGCTCATCGGATGATGAACGGATCTAGCGTCAGTTAGTTACTGCGCTTGAACAACCAAAAAGTCACATTACCGAGCAGCAGCACGAATCCTTGCGTCGATGTACTCATCCGTTGAATTAACAGAGTACGGCTCATCAAATCCTGCCGGAACTGCTTCACCGTTGAGAATCTCGCGGCCAAGAACTGTTGTGTCGCTGCCAGCAAAAGCAATTTCTTGGCGGATGCCTTCACGCACTATGTAGCGATCGACGGCAGTCGCAAGATAATTGGGGTCGATCAGGGGCGAATCGGTGATGTTTCCAGACGCAAGCTTGATAGAACCCCGCGAAGTCGGCAAGATGAAGATGCCGGAGATTGCGACTTTTGACCCGTCGATAGACCCAGAGTAGAGGAAGAAGTGTTCGAAGAATGTACGTTCTTGCTTCAAGAGAGGATGATCGGGGCCGGGTGCGGCACCCTCATCTTCTTCGATAGCCTTGGCGAGGCCCTCTTTTGGCACACTGGAGCAGACGATGAAGTCTGTGGCGGTTCCCCATCTGTACTGTTCCGCTGTCGGAAATGCGGGAGATCCTACCGCCCAGCCTTCCCCGGGGTTCTTGACATTCCAGGATGACGGACATAGGAAGTGATCGGCATAGTTTTTGCCAACTTCAGGAGCATCAAGCTTCACGTCGACACCCACCGCTTCAAGCTCATCACGGGGTCCGATGCCTAAGGTTCCTAATCAGTAATTGCTAATGCACTGCCTAAAACACTCGACTTACCTGAGAGCATCAAAAGCTGTGGAGTATGGACTGCACCAGCTGAGAGAATAGTCTGGCGACCTAAAATGTGGGTTCCATTTACTAGCTCAATGCCTGTCGCCGTCAACCCCTCTGTTGAGTTAGAAAGGAGGACCTTGGCAACTTGTGTATCCGTTAGCACTGTCACATTCTCTAATGAATACACTGCAGCTGCGATCTCCCGTCGCCCGTTGTTCTTGTTCTCAGTGTACTCGGCAACACCCAGAGGGGCTCCGGCGTTGCCATCGAACAACGAGATGGGTTCGATGCCAATTTCATGCCACGACTGTAGCACCTTCTCGCGAAGAGGAAATGGCCGCTTTGTTGATGTGACGGATTGTATCCCGACTGGTCCGTCATAACCATGCTGATCCGAGTTTATCGCAGAATTCCAGAATGTCTCCGCTTTCTTCATGTATGGTAAGAGCCCATCGTAGGTCCAACGGTCATCATCAACAGCTTCACCCCAGAGATCGTAGTCAACCTTGTCACCCCGGGTCCACAGGCCTTAGTTTGATGTCAGTGTGGTTTGAAGACACACTGCAAAAGGGGAGTCGTACCCATATTGATGACAGTTCCGCCGCCCAGAGCCTTTCCTTGGGCGAGGGTGATGGACCGGTTGTCCACGTGCGCCTGAGGAACGGAAGCGAGCTTCCAGTCAAAATCTCCGCCAATAGTGTTTGTGGAGTTGGGCCAGACGATATCTTGCCGATCGTTGGCGTTAGGCCCAGCTTCCACAACGAGGATCTTGAGCTCTGGACGATACCCCGCAAGCCGGCTGGAAATGACCGACCCGGCAAGGCCGCCTCCCACGACGATCACATCCCAAATCATATCGGCTGGGAATTGAAGCGGCAACCTGTTGTCAAGCTGGACTGGCTCATGCATAACATTGAAGGCTTTGCTTGAATTGAGATCGCACGGAGGAAGCCACCAGCTTTATGTGGTCTGATTTGATGCTGGATATCACAGCAGGCTGAGATCGCATCCCAGAAGCGTGATATCTCCGCATTCTGCGCCGCACTGTGAAATTGGAGAAGGATCGGAGCAGATTCCGCTCGTACAACAAGACCCACAAATTGCCAACCGTAAGCTCTGCACGTTTCTTACCCAATTGGCTAGGCAGCCTGGATCGTGGGACGATGCTCCTCGGAGTTGGAGCATGCCCAGGCGGATCAGCGTTGCAATTTCGCCGGAAACCCGTCGTATCCCCGAAATGAGTTTCCGGGATGACAGTCCGCCGGCCGGACCGTCCCGCTGGATTGAATTGATCCGTGGTTGATCTATGCTATGTTCGGGGACATATTTTTGCGAACCAAGGTCAGAAGCATTTCAACCTTATGGAACTGGAATCTGGAGTTGAAAGCTTCCGGGGAATGGACACCGCTTGTGCCGAACCAAGGTCGCATTGTTCGCTTCCCTCGTAGCGGTCAGTCGACACGTTGACGATCCAACAGGAATGTTGCATGATCATGGATCAATCGACCAGGCCCCTTGTCAAATGGCAGGGGAAGATTTTGGCCCCCACCAAAAACCTCCAATACTGGCATATTAATTGGTCCGCGTAATCAGAGCTGTCGTTCTGGAGATGCTGTTGGCTCTAATTTGCAAAGACTCTTCTAGACGAGACGCGAGCCCCTGGCTAAGAAAGCCGATTTTCCGTCATCAATTTTTTTTTCTTTGCATCTTCCGCCCTCAGTTGTTTTTTGTGGATAGCAGCATGCCGAAGGAGCAACCGGGCCAAGTATCGTAGGCTTCAAGTTGTGACTACGATGGCTGATCACTTCCTGCCAGAATGCTGGCTATCCCCGGCCGATGACGTCTCAACTTCATAAGTCATATCCTTTCGGATTCCCCGAATTGGCACAGTGCTGTCCTTGTCCGACCCATTGTCCTCCTCTAGACGCGTCCAATCGCCTTGGTCGGCTTCATCGATCTCAAAGTTAGACTTCATGCCCTTCCGACCCCTGATCTTTGATGTCCCTCCAGAGCCACCGATTGTCACAAGCCCGGCTGATGGTGGCTGTAGTCCGATGGAACCCTCAGTGCCTCGGTTTGTAGCTCGTGGTGCTCGATGTCGCATAACAAACTGGCGCAGGGCGGGGAGAGATCCTGCAATCAAGCCGATGGCAGTTTCGACGTTGGACCATAGAGGAATATTGCCAATGTGATCTACGGAGCGAGTGAAGTCAGCAAGACGATCGTCAGCGAGGTATTGTAGACTTACAAGCGAGATCGTCGAGCGGACGATTGTAATGGTCGATATACGGGGTTCTAATCATTGTCGATACTGAAGCACTTGAAGGGGACCAAAGTCAGTGGATTGGCAAAGAAACTCCATGGAATGACTTACAAAGAACCGAAAGACAGGAAAGTTGCAACCATGATCTTCGTGGATAACCTCATCTGCGTCTGCATGAGAATGATAGCCGGGAGAACCGCACAAGCCAGATCCGTCGCAATGGTGCTGGCTGTTGACGTGTATGACAAGCCCAACATAGAGGTGACAGGAGAACACTCCCCGCGGCCATCTGCAATGAGACTTGCGTCCCAGTTTGCCTCGACTGGCCGGCAGAGTAGCAAAATGCCGATGAAAGTCGTCAGAAATGTGGCGATGATGAGCCCGAGTAGAACGTAGACGGCAACACGCAGCTTTGGCATCGTGGTGGCAATCCGTAGAGTGGTGATGCAGATGGAGGACTTGACAAGACATAGTGCTATGACGTATAGCAACATCCAGATCATCAAGTACTTGATGGACTCAACCATCATCGTCGCGCTAAGGTCGGCATTGCGTCTACCCAACCCGCTGAGGGCACCCACACATGCAAGAGCAACATCTGCGAGATAGACAACCTAGAGATAAGTACTAGTCAGTTTCGAGCAAGCGCATATTGTCGAACCTCCAACATATATCTTACCAATCCACTCAGCATCAAGCCATCGTCGAAGCTGAAGTTTCTCTCCTTAAGCCGAAAATATGTGCGTGCCCCCACCACCACTAGCGAGACTATGCCGCCAACAATGGATACAACAAAAAGGCTGAGGCCTGTGCCCTCGAGGTGGTCGACAAAACGCTGCGTTGGGTCTAAGGTCGTCATCTTGTTGCTGTCAGTCGCATGGTCTGTCCTTTCGGTTGGAAGATGTATCAATGATTTAGCTCCAAGCTATTCAAGAAAGCGGCCAAACAGACGTATGTATGTTGGTGAGCGCACGTGGGAAAATCTGTTCCAGAAACAAGAAAGAGTAAGAGCAATATAATAACCTTGTCACTTAACCGAGAAGGAATTGATGCCGACTGCCAATGAATGCATGAGCTTTCTCAAACAATATGCAACACGTGATATCCCAGCCGTCTGGTGAGCTGAGCTCGCCGCAACGAGCTGCCATCCCAAAGCTGCGCATTTTCGTCGATCGACAGCAGACGAATCCGAGATGATCATTTCCCAACCTAGTAGGACCCTCTCGAACCCCTGACGGACCCCTGAAGAAAACGTTGAAGAAACCCCACCTGTGGGGTTTCGTTCTCCAGGGCAGTGCCAGGGCTGGTTGGCAAGCTCCTCATCTCCATCACTGTGAGAGGACGCTCAGGGTGAAGTGAAAACGGAGCCGTGAGGCAATTCTTTGCGGAATGGGCAGGTAACGTACGTTTGCCCCTTTTTCAACGGATGCTCAGCGGTGAAAAGAATACTACGCTGGTCGCCGCGTTCCTACCTCTTCTTCAAGGCCCTCGAATCGAAAGAGAAGACTGAGCGATCCGCATTTCTAACGTTGATAGAAAGGACCCTCACTAGGCAGAATATCCTTCGGGTTCCTTATAATCTAGCCCCCACGAACCAGTTCATTAGCGACGAGAAAGTGATGATCCTGCCAATTTGATCACATCCCCGCACCCTTCGTACCATGGTCCACCCACAGACAATGGGGAACCACTTGACAGTTCCTCTTTAAGGAACCCTTCGACATGGGAACGAGCTTCAGGTCGGAGGCATATGCCACAACCGGTTTAGAGCATCCGCTCTGGACCCGGAAATGGGGACGCAGCAGACAGGGTCGTGGGTAAAACGTTCCGGCTGTCATATCTCCCTCCTGCTTTCCTTAATTACCATGGTCCCGGATCCCTTGTTACGAAGTGGCAGTTGAACTCTGCATGCCGTTGTGAGCAGACTCTTGTTGGAAACCACAGCATACTATCCACCGCACGAATCGCTCCTTGCGCGTAACATCAGACACCATGACTGCCACAGAAATCACCGTTCCAATCACCCAAGCCCCTCCGTACAGGGTGCACGAGGGAAAGACCGCTGTCATCACAGGTGGCGCGAGAAGTGAGTTCATCCTTTGTTGATACTACCCGGAGGACGCTGCTGACAAGATACACACAAGGCATCGGTGCCTCCATCGCCCAGAACCTTGCCTCCAAGGGTGCCAACGTGGTCATCATCTACCTGAACGAATCTTCCGACGAGCCTGCTGCCTCCCTCGCCGCCCAGCTCTCAAAAGCACACAATGTCAAGGCCGTTCCTGTCCGCGCCGACTTCAGCACGCCTGAGGGCTGCACCAAGATTATCGAGACCGTGAAGAGCGACCTGCCGCCCAATGCCAAGACAGGGAAGCCCCAGGTTGACATCCTCGTCAACTGCGCCGCCCTTTTCCACGCCATGCCCCTCGAGGCCGTCAACATTGAGGACTTCCACAAGGTCTACTCCATCAACGTCCTGGGCCCCATCCTCCTCACCCAGGCTGTCAAGCCACTTCTCCCCAACGACCGCTCGGGCCGCATCGTCAACGTTTCGAGTATCGGCTCCAAGGTGGGCCTCGAGTACCTGACGCTGTACGGAGGCAGCAAGGGTGCCCTCGAGGCGATGACGCGCACCTGGGCCCGTGAGCTGAAGGAGCACTGCACTGTCAACTCTTGCAACCCCAGCTCCACCATGACGGACATGCTCCGTGGTGCCTCTGATGATGCCAAGAAGGCCATTTCAATGTGGTACCCCCTCACGCCGCTGTGCGGGATCCGGGAGTGGGATACCGAGGAGCAGAAGGAAATGGCCGAGAAGTACGGTGGTCGCGCGGGATATGCCGAGGAGATTGCTGGCATTGTTGGTATGATCTGCTCACCTGAGAGCGGATGGATGACAGGATGCCTGGTCAGTGCCAACGGAGGACAGTGGATGGCCAGCTAAGCGCGTCACGCGGCAGAAGAAATTGTCACTTCAATACTACTTTGATCACAGCATTAACCGGTTGCCACGCCCACAAAATTACGGTCAGCCTGCATCATACCCGGCCCGGAACCGACGTTCATCATCTTGATTGTGATTCCAACCACGCCAGAGAAACATGTGCATGAGTAGGCCTTGGGCAACTGCGGGATATGTGTCTGATCGCTACAGTGATGAGTTTGGGTTTCAAACACACTCCATTTGCAGTGATATTATGCTTGCAACACTTTTTCTAAAGTCCTGCATCATGAGATTGTGTCTGTGTATCAATCCCCACATTTCTTAGGGTGCTGTCAAAACATCCAACTCCACTTGCAGTCTACTTTCATCTCAGTTGTCTTCAATAGACCCTTACTTGTGTTTTTGCTTGAATCTGTTTCCAGCCATATTAACTACAATGTAAAGACATACTAACTATACGTCTACATTTTCCATTATTAGGAGGGCACTACTGACCTTTATTACGGCTCTAACATAGGAGCCCGTCTATAGGGATCAAGCTAAGAACTTATCTATCGCCATGGAAGTCTAGAAGGGTGGAACTCAATAGATAGCTGAGCTATGAGATAGTTATAGTCAATGGAGGGTCTTCAAAATAGCAAGTATGTCTTCAGTTGCAAATGTAGATAAACACGCTCTTTCGTTCCTGTGTGTCTTGATTTTCTCAGCATGCGCCCCATGCGAAAGGGACTGCGAGAAAGAACGGTTGAAGCCGCGAGTCTCAGGCGTAAAGGTTGGCGTTTTCTTCGAGCACAGAGGCCTTCATTGAAGCAGTCCGCGTGTCAGCACTCGTGTCCCGGCCACTTCGCTAAAGCGGTTGAACAAGCACCAGCATATTGAATAGACATATTAGACCTAAGAAAGCTTGAGTTCAACGGGCAAGGTCTTTCAGATGCGTCATATTGAATACGCCAACTAGACACCGCGGAGCCACGCTTATATGTGCACACCTATATGGAGACAATACTTTTCGAGGAATCCAGCCAAGCTCCAACTAGCTTTTGAGAAACGTCTGATCTCCTACCAAAGTGTCAATTGTGAGCCCACGAAATCATACTTTTGAGCCCTTATGTCGGAATCAGGTTGCCTTCTCGCAGCTCCATCACAGTCAAAGGCTTCAGCGTCTGGAATGATCATGGAGATGCAATTTCTCGATATGTCGAATCTAGGCCCGGTCCTTCAGGGGTCGTCTTGGTCTAGAGCGGAAACACACAGCCGGAATGCATCCCAAGGTCTGTCTCTGAAATGCATAAGTCTGCATTGTCACTTTCCCGCGAATTGAACTAAGTTAGCGACAACGTTGTTACTATCGGAGCCAATCATCGCATTCGCGTCGTCCGATTGCCTAATGAGCTCGGGCTTTGAAATTGGCTCACCGGTCAGAGATTCAGAATTATCCGTGTTTGTATGAGCAAGCGGGATTGCGGGTCCAGCAAACATGCATGCATAATGCATGCTTCCTTTATCAGGTGGTACTGCAGCAGTACTGCGCAGCTCATTCGGCAATGGGCTTGATATTTGTGGTTTCTATCATTATCGCACCCTCTGCAACAGTATATGTACTATCACTGATGTCATGAGCGCCCTGGAGCATCTTCCATTCGTTGACCAAAAGATTGAAAAAAGTGGTAGTAAGCACAGGATCTCAGCAGTGCCAAACGTCTTGCCAAACAACGATGCGGTGAGGTCACAAAGTTCGAGAGTGTCACCAACACTAGCGTGTTCTAGGGAACAGGGAGCCTGCTACCTCAGCTCTATGCTAAGTCTGAACAGAGCTGCTGATAGGCAGCACGCCAGCCCTCCCAGTCCTCCATACGCAAGGTAGGATCGACTGTCACTAATCCACGGGAAGTCCGTTTGAATATTGGCTTTCATGTCCCAGAATCCTGCCCAATAGTTGTCCCACAGAACGCAGTCGTCTTCTCCCCAAGCCGAAGTCATGAGACCCACTTGGAATCGAAGAGCAAAGGGTATCATCGAGACCACCAACACTTTCAAATATTGCACCAACAAACTTCTGCTAATTGCAACGCTTTGAGTAAACTGGAGGGCGACATGTTGGTCGCCGACACTAGCGTGTTCCAGGGAACAAGGATCTCATTTACCAATGCATCGGGCAGTAAACGTTGAGGCCCATCGATTACCACGCTGTCGGCGTATCAAGAGACGATCCGAGAGTGGGGGGCATTCTTAACGCGCCATGGTGCAAACGAGATCCTGGATGATAGCTGTGCTTAGACGCTCCGTTTGAAACCTTCTACAAATTCCTCAACGATTGGTGCAGTTCTTGTTCCTGTCATTTGCTTCATCCCGCGTCCAGAAGTTCCTTGTGGCTGCGCGAAACATGCCTGGCGGAAAAAGCGAATGTTATCCCTCAAGTGAGACAAGGTAAGCCTGCGGCTGGTCAGGCGGCGGGCGTGGATCCGCCGCATATTGCGCGCCCTATAACAAATGAGAACATGTTCTGTCAGACGGAACAGGGATACACGCAAATTCCTCATCTAGCACGCTGTCGGTGGACACCTTCCGCTTGGGGCAAACCCTCCGTGACGGAGCCCTCAGACCTCGAAGTCTCAATTTCTCGACCGTCACTTTTGCAGAGTGCATTGGTGCGTGTAAGTGGCGTGGCCAGGAGAAGAGACACTTTCCAGACATCTCTGAGGAAATAGAGAAGAGAGTTTGCAGTAACTAATCTAGGGCGCGAGACACATCAGTTGCATAGAGGTGCATAGGTCAACAGCGTAGGAATTGCCCTTGGGCTGCCCATCTCCGCCGGTTTCGGAGTACGAGTCCGGCACCGCTGGCACCATGTTTGTTACCATACCATGGTATAAGATCATGCATAAACAATCCATTGACACCGCTTCTCTCGTCATACGAGTATGTACGTGTAGCTGCGATCCAATACTCATGCACTCTGCATAACAGGCATATCGGACAAAATACGACAATAATCAGACCCAATGGGTACATCAACTACATCGTCACAACGAGGAAACCTAGTATAAGAGGTGACTGCAAGTCGGCAACCAGATTGGCATAAATTACTTGCGTACACTACCTAATCCATACCGCACACAGCATGATATCGCCAGGATCAAGCTCAGTGCCCAGCAAATCCTCATGGTAGCTTGGCCGCCTAGCCACGGTTAGAGTCGACAAGGAACAGATGTCAGTTCAGCAACGCTGACACACTCATCCCGTTCACAGGCTATCCCGACGTCAGCAATTGCTATGTTGTCCTCAAGATATAAGATGCAGCCTGTCTCACATTTTCCCTGGCCTCCTCGTATGACGGTGTGTCATTCGTACCCGAGCCTGTCGCGACCGACTTGGCTCTCTTGGTTGGAGTGAAGGGGAGACGTGCCATAGGAGCCATTTGCCGGGTCCGCTTCATCATCCGCTTTGCCTGCGGTGTTCCTCCGGGCACTGGAGCCGCCTCTTCCACTTGCGGTGAGGTTGTGGCACTAGAAAAAGCGACCAACTGGTTGTCGTCTGTCAGAGCTAAACCACGGTGAGCATCACCGATCTCCCCATTCCCGTCGTAGATCAAGTAGCAGCAGTGTCATCCCAAGCCTCGTTGTTACTAGCGACTCTGCCGCCAGAACCCTGTTTAGGCACATCGCGTTGCAGCATCTGAAAGCCACATGCCGCGCCGTTGCTCAGGTACTCGTTGACCGTTATTGACTTGGAAGTGGCCAATGCGACACCTCGGGCGACGTTGAAGGCTCTGTTCGAAAGCACCCAGGGGAGCGTCGGTCAGCAACCATATGGTAGGGTGATGCCGTGGAATGAGAAGATGACTTACGGGTTGCCATTTGCTGCATCATGAGCGAGGATGGGCTCGAACCTTAGCCCTGCGTCTTTGCAGTACTGTCGGAGCCGTCTCAGAACCTCGAAGTGCCTTGAACTGCCCCCGGTCACCACCACTCTGCACTGATGAGACGCACCATATAGCTGCCCAAGGTCATTGATGTGTTCATGAGCCAGGTCTAGAGGAGCTTTCATACCTACCTCAAACGTGTCTTTGACAACCGACAGGAACTACGACTGGGATAGAGTCTGAGATGTTCGCATGTAGCCTCATCTCCTGAAATGTTTCGATGTCAGATTCGGTAATCTGCTGATGAAAATTTTCCAACAGTTTGCCGCGTAAAGTTTCATCAGGAAAGGACTTCTTTCTGTCCGGTCCATCGGTTTTCAGCGTTTCTCCGGTGCAAAACTCGCTGAAGTAGGCTTCCCAATGCTCAGTACCACCGCCAGTCCCTGAACGTTGTCGTTGGTCAGCCACATCAAGCCCATTTGTCAGCCCGCGTGTTGGAGTTGCTGAGTACTTCATACAATGTTCAACTTACCATGGATCCCCGAGTCTGAAGAATGCTGCCGCGTCTCCACATGGAGATCCTCTGGCTCTGAAGGGGCAATCGCTCTGTTGAATTGATCAGCATTTGTTGCACTAGACTAGGCGTCAACTAAGCATGCTGAATACCCCCAAGTCCAGACCGAGGATTGTAATATCTGCGGTCTTGGGGAAGATAGCTCGATACTTCTGTGCGTTATGCATCAAATAGTGCGCAAATGCTTCGACCTCGGTATGGAAATAGAGACTGCGCTCAAGAACCTGCTGTATCGTTTTGGAGGTGGACGCGCCCTTCAGAAGAGCCTTGTACTCATCCTGCTCATCATATGTCCAGGTAGCTGGAACAGACACGCCAAGCCCAGTGACTTGCCAACCTTCCGACTTACATTTCTCTTCGATCCCCTTGGCCACGATCTTGACGATAGACTTCAATCCGTCTTTGCAGCGTTTCTTGAAATCCTCTCTCCGAAAGCAACCGTCCAGTTCGGCTCTAAGAGGGTGATTGGAGTCCAACCCTTTGCCGTCCCCGAAGACCCACTTGACCGAAACCTGTCGTCGCCCACGACACTGGGCATCTGGACTGTATACTGGACCGCCATCTAAAGGGGTTATTGTTGACTTGATCTGACCTCCACCATAGCGCTTGATTTCCCAAGCTGGGCTATTCTTGCACCAGAGCTGATCGAAAATGTGGTCATCTCCGATCCGACGGTAGAACATCACCCGCACGCCGGTGCTACCCAAATCGATTCCCACAATGCTCCAACAACAACTGTGAGCTAACTGCGATGAGGGTTGATGGGTTCGATGCAGACTAACACTTCCTTCGACTGGGCGACCATGATGTGCTTAGACAGGGGGCTTGTCCCGATTAGACGCGGATGGTGTGAAGTGGGTTTGACACAGATCGATGGAAGGATGCCGGTGTATTGACGATGGCGCGGAGCGGGATGTGCGGAAATATTGAAAAAGGGGCATAAACTAGCTCTGCGATGCTGCAGGAAGTTATGCCATGGAATGTGCAAGTCGGAGCAAACGCATATATCATCCGGCTTGCATGTTTGACTCCCAAAACAGTGATCAACCGTTCAGCCACAGGGCAGAGCCTTGGAGAAGACTACAGCCAGAAACCAGATAATCGTCGGCAAGGGAGGGGCATGAGGCTATTGTACTGTCAGCAGATCGACTCTGATTGCTCTGAAGTCACTGAGATGGGTGGTACTGTCCTACTTGATACGTACGAGTCGAAGCAGGTGTGATTCTAATTAAGGTGATTGGTACCAGTCATGCCGCCTTGACATCGGAAGGCGTTTGCAACCTGTCCCGCGACCTGTTATAACCGGGCTGACACTTGACTGGCTGTGTTCGAGACCGATGGGTACTTCGTAACAAAGACTGGTATCCACGGATTAGTGTCAGTACATGACGCATCGACTAGGTTTAGCAAGCAAACATCCGCATGGCAGCCGAAAGTGGTTACATGCAGGCCTGGCATGGCCCGCAGGCATGCTCGACCAACAACCACCCAGCCGCCCACCTTCACTGGCTTAGCTCAATATTTCAAAATTAGCCTAGCTCACACACAATCCTTACAGGAAGTTCATCATTGCCATCTGGCTGAATAAAACAACATCCCACGTTGAGGTAATCACGTCAACAAGTTTTTCATGACTGCTCTAGCAGCACCTCTTTATTTTATGCAGCTTATCATCGGGAGCTGATAATGTCACGATAGGGACAATTTCATGCTCCGTCCTCCCGAATTACAACTCGCACTCGCTAGCAATGTCCCCCGTACTATCATATGTCACTGGGCTCGGTGCGCCTGTCTTCTTCTCTGCCCTCCCCATGGCTTAGGGTTCTTCTTGATACATCTGGTCGCGTTACAGCTTGAAGTTTCATCATTGATCTGGTTTCTTCTTCATTCATGTTGCTATTTTCTAGCCGCTCATGACAGGCTGGCCCCACACCAGCCTAAAATAGGACCTACAAAAATGCCGCTCTTCACGGGGATCTTGATCAGATACCTTTGTAAATGGTCTACTGATACATGAGTTCCACTTTCAGCTGCAGCAATAAAAGTCTATCCTGGGGCAGCAAACATACGGTGCCGAGCATATAGAAGAGTAGATTTGCCTCTTAATCACAGACTGGACCTTTCCAAAGACTTTGGCGCCTGTTAGATGCCTTAGTCACCGCTGCTCTTCGTTAGATCCCAAGATTTTAAGACAAGAACAAAAGAAAATATTATACCATTTGGCAATTGATGGGAAATGAATCATAATGGAATGAAAAGAGACATATTTGAAAGCTAAAACGAAACATGACGCGGCGCAGCTGTTTATCAAAGGTTCTCCCTGTCCAAGCAATGAGCCGCCCCCCAAGATCGGATTGAACCTGTCAGCGCGCTTATTCAAACCTGCCGAGCATCGTCTTGACTCATCCCGTATCGCTTGCCCAGCTCCTTAAGAGCTTCGTACGGCGCGAAACAAAAACCATCCGTACTTGAAGACGACGTAGCGAAAGCCTGGCCCACATCAACCAACTCTGTGCCTATCCCACGAAACCCATAGTGACCAACTCCCATATCGGAATCACTGCTGGCCGTCTCGTCTGAACTTTCGACAAGAGTTTGCGTTTGTGCAGAATGAGGCGTGGCCCTTCTCTTGAACGGCGGCAAGTGGCCGGAAGGCTTTACCCCGGGTACTCGGGAATGGGGTCTTTTTCTTTTGACACCAGCACCACGCTTAGCCCTGCGCATCTGTTGAAGTTGCTCTTGTATGACTTCAGGGGGGCAGGCCTTCAGGTGACCCTTTTCTGAGAGCATAAAGCCGCGACCCTCATCATTTACATCCACATCCAGAAGACAGGCGTTCGATGTGCCATCGACGTAGAGTGGAAATGAATGCTGAATGGGAGTGCCTATGACTCGTGCTCCGGCCTTGCCCATATTCTCAATTCGTATGACAAGCTTCGTGGTGTTGGCTTCCCTGCGGAGGCTAAGGCGATAATTCCAATATCCTTGAGAAGGCTGTGGAAGTTCGAGAAGATCGTACGAGCGGTCAATGTCCAACATGTTGTTTTTCTTCTCTGCACCCGCTTGCGAGTAAGGGTCGCAGATGATCTTCATTCTGGTGCTACCCGTGCACCATGTCCGGTAAGGTTTTGAAGATCGCTTGTTGTGGCAAGAAGAGTCAGCAATCCAATGTTCTTAGGTAGGAATAAAGGTGCTCTCACAGAATCAAGAGCAACAGCTACATCTGATTTCCAGTCGACGGCAGGACATTTATCACTGGTTCGTGCACCAGGCTTGAGGGCACTCTTTCGGATCCCAAAAGCAGCTCCTTTTCTCATGAACTCTTCGACAGATACTGTTCGTACCGTCGCATACGCGGCCCCATTCACGACATTCCATGTTCTTAGAGAGAGGGTCAGCCAATGACGTCAAGGTAAGGTAGGGTGAGATGTAAACTTACTGCTTCGCACGTGAACCATTTTGAGCGAAGTAAGGGGGTTTGACCCCGGCATTCTCGCACGCTGCCTTGATCTTGGACTGAACGACTGAGTTCTGACCGCTGCCGCCGTAAACCACCACACGCACATCATCGCTCAAAGAGGCGGCTTCGAAAATCTCTGTGGTTGCGAGTTGAAGGGGCTCCCTCATGGCTTTCCAAAAGCACAGCTTGGCCTTTTCAGCGGGGACAACAAGAATATGCCCCCCGGACTCGTCTTCGTAGAAAAGACGCATGTCCCCTATCTCATCTGCCCTCAAGCTCTTGATATCTTGATGGAAGTGACGCAGGATGCCTTTCAGCGCACTTGGGGGAAGAGCCGCGTTCCGTTTTCTCTCCAAGGTTTGAACCGCAAATGCGGCAATCTCCTGTTCCCAAACTTGGGTGCCACCTCTTGCGACTAAAATCGGGGACAAATTCAGCTGATTGCGACATATTAATACGAAGGGCTCATGGCTTACCTAAGGGGCTGCCCACAACAGAGTAACTCAGATCATCAAGATCTCGTCTGGCGACAATGTGCTTGCATTCATTCTGGACTACATTAGGAAGTGAACCGGATAAAGGCTGTGACATTACTTGCCAGTGTGTGGCCACCAAAATCAATCGTAACTAGCAGGGGTGATTCCGTGATGGGGCCCATGACAGCTTCGCTCTGTGTGATGCTTGTGAAGAGATTGTGGGCGGCGGCTAAACATTCTTGGTGAAACACAATGGGAGGTCGAACATGGCTCAGGCATACGTCGTCAAAAGTTGACAACACCTCTCTGACCAGCCTCTCGTACTTGCTCCGCTCAACCTCCGTCCAATACAAGGGGTATGCCAGAGCAATCTCATCAATATAGAATGGGCCGCCTTGATCGGTAATGTTGCAGTCCAGAACGACCTGCCTGAAAACCGTCTCAAGAATTTTCTTCAATCCTGTGTCTATACGCTCCCACATCTTCGTGGCCTCGGGGCCCTTGAGTGCTGCTTTCACAAATTCGTTGCTTGTTACAGGCTCAATGGCGAAAAAGGGCTTGGAGGGTATTGCCACACGATCATGATCAATGATTTCGCCCAGATACACTCCAATCCCGTCGTCATTGAGGTAGAGATTGGGACAGAAAGCGCCTTCTTGGTATCGCTCGTCAACCCAAGGATAAGGATGTTGGTTCCAAACCTCTCGTAAGAGTGCCTCCGGGTAACGAGGGAGAATGGATCCACGGATTGCGCTGCTACCCCAGTCCTGCGAGTATATCCTGCGATATAACTGTTAGTCTTCTCCTCTTCAGCGTACAAAGACCAGGAATAAATTACGCCGGCTTGCGCTGTTGCCGATGGTGGGTTGCCATTGCCGCTCAGACTGTCAGGGTTTCGCTGTTGGAGGAGCACTTGGAGATACGGGAGAATGTTGCTCAGGGAAAGTAGCAGCTGGCGAGTAGAGGCCAACCGCTGACTTTTTCTTTTTTTTTAAATAACCGAAAAATTGCTCCGTGGCACAGAAGAGATGAGGAGGTTCGAGGTCCTAGATCTTCCGTCTGGAAATGATAAGGGAACAGAAAGGTTGCTATATTTAAGTATGAATGGCATTCGTGAATGGACGGGCCTGATGCAAAGATCGTGGCCGCTTAAGCCTCGATCCACTCCAAGGTCTGAGACCCTAGTATCTTGTTTGGCAACGTAATTGTAGCCCAATATTAATCCGACGCAAACGCCAAGGCGGTTAAATTCACAACGGCGCAAACAATCAGAGTATTGTGATGCTCCCTTGCTCTACCCCCTGTGAAGCGTCCATCCTCGTCCTTGTGCATAAAGTCTACGTGTTTCTCTTCTCCACCGCTAGGAATACAGAGCAGAAAAACTTATTTTCCAGATTTCCAACCCTTCCAACTTTTGTTTCTGTTATATTAGTCAGCCAGCCGAGCTCATATTGTCGAAAATGGCAATGGTGCGAATCACTCCAGCCTCTAGAGCCTCTGCCAGCCAGCCAAGCTCAGCTCATATATCCCCCAAGACGATCATGAGAGTTGACTCCCGACTCAAACGGGCTGACGAAGGAATCACCCAGGGCATGACACATCGGCTCGACAAAGTTATCCGTGATACCGAAGACATCAGGCGCAGAACACTTGAGTCCGCTCTGGTAGATATGCCTCTTGATTTCGAGGAGCACGAGAGACCATGGGTTGTTGAACGCATTAAAAACAGCTTTCGGGTTCATTTTTCCGACGTTCACTACAACATCGTCGATGGTTGTCCTCTGGTTTCTTATAACTTAGGGAGGGACAAGGCGTTCACGTTCAAAGAGCCGGCGTATTACCTCCAAGGTCAGGTTGGCACCGATGATATCGTAAGTACATGATTTCTGCAGATGGTCCCTGTAGCTTCCCTTGAAGTATATCTCCTGACGATGCTTAGCCTGCTCCATCGAATGTCGATCCAACGAAACAGCAAGTGGTAGGAACCGACTCTGTGTCTGAGCCCTCAGTGCATGTGTTGTCAGCACAAAAGGCTCCTGACCCTGAAAAGCCTAGACGACAATCTGTGGCTACAACTCCAACATTGCCATCACAAAGCAACCCAGGCCACGAAAGGCCCAAACGTCAATTACGGCGCTCAGAAGTTTCGGATGTGAGACAACACAAAAAAGCACGAATTCCATCGCAAGGAGCTGCCGCGAAGTCATCCTCAGAGAACCGAGAGGTGAATCGCCCCGTGCACCGTTACATCGTTCAGTGTCGTTACGCCGAGAGCTGGATTTTCTCGTATGTGACCAATGGCATCCAAGAGCACTTCATCCTCCGTTGCCCGGTCTCCAGTTGTCGCGATCGCAGCTTCAGCCGAAACCCGATTGAGAGCGGTTGTGGCATCACGCATTTGCGAAACCATGGTATAAAGATCGCCGACGAGGACGATCTGGTGCAAAATTATGCGCGCCGGAGTAAGTTTGGCATCGTCGATGCGGGTTCTGGTTGCGACTTGAGTCTTGGGCTGACGGATTTCATAGTTATCTTACGCGACGAGAGTGAGACTGCACTCTCCTTCGTGGAGAGACATAATAAAGACGTCCGTCGGCTCTGCGATATCGCAGATATCGCAGATGGTGGAGACACTGACTCCAAGTCTGACGTCGACGAGGATATTGACGAGCTTGGTCAGGATACGAGCCCCTTACCCCAGATTCTCAACTCAGTGAGGTCGGACTTTGAGAAGAGTGGTGCTTCGGAAGTCTCTCTAGTTAGATGTGGAGACTCAGATAGTTGATGTCGTCTGTAATGGTCACCCTGGCGGATTGGCATTACAGACTTGTGCGGTCTTGGGTCACACTGGCTCTGGATTCTGCGCCGTCTTTGTCATTGTTCTACTTCTAGTCTATGCGGTTGGAATATCACGAAATCTGAATCTCATCTGTTTTATGTGTCGTATCAACCCTTCTGGCTCACATGATGTCTCGCAGATGACTAGCGCCCGCGTACCGGATGAGCTTGATGCAGGGAAGCTGCAGGGAAGACCAAGCAGTACCAGCTGGGGCGAAGATCGCGCTGAGCATCTGGTCTGGCCGCATGGTGAACCGTGAAGCGGCAAATCTATGCTCTGGCCTCTGTGAATCATTCACCGTGATAAATATCTGTCAAGCCTTGTGATGGATGATGTTGCGATCGTGGACCGTGGCACACAGCTACCTACCTAAATTGAAGCCGGATGTTTTCAGGGACAAGTAGCCGGGAAGCCAGCGCGGTGGCCCTGTAAGCCTGGCAAGCGACTTACGTCGCCCGCTGCAAGTAAGCCCCGTGCAGTGATTGGATTCTAGTCATGCTTGAATTAAAGCCATGTTATGCGAGAAGATCAAAGCTCTCTTAATTTTTGTCAATTTGATTTTAAGACGCTGTACATGCTACAAGCCGGACTTGGACTGGCTGTGCTGGCAAAGGCTTGGGGCCTGCTGTCTTCGCTGACCTAGCTTCGCTGGATGGTCGCTTCGGCCGGAGCTTCGCCCTTGGCAGACAGCCCCCCCGGTCAGTTGGGATATGTAGACCTCATCGGCAGAAGCTATCGCTATATATATTTTCAAGTCTGCAGGCGTTCTTCCATGGAGTTCAAAATGCGCCAGCTTCTTCTTAGTCGGCGCGATGCGGGCGGAAGCGGTGGTAAACCTGCGTGCACCCTGTTCACTGCACCTGCACTGCCGGTTTCTCGCCAAATAGGGGCCTTTTGAAACTCAACCAACCATCTCAGAAGGCACACGATCAGTCTTTCTCTGTGTGGGGTTTTTGATTCTCATGCGGTTCGAACCTTCGCGGGGTCTATAGATGAGGTTTTCGGCGGGAGGCGTCACTGTCTAGTTGTGCCCGGAGGAGAGCCGGCCGATCGGCCCCACATCGGAACACCGGCACGGAGCTCATCCGGGGAAGTGAGGCTCGTCCATGTCCCCTCCCTGCAACCATGACTCTGCACCACCGACTGACGAGTGATTCCTTGTGCCAAATTGAGGGCTTCTTGATCTTCCATTTCGATACTCTGTAAGGTCAGCGGCTAAAGCCCCAGGCCTGACTACTGCTGTGGAATAACAGCGCTGAGCATTGCCGAGAGCCAAGTACTATTCCTCAAAATATCACAGGAAAAAGCCGACAAAGTGAAGATTCACTTGAAACCTTAGTACTTATGGTGGGTACTCGACTTATTTCAGGCATGAAATCAGCTGCCACTCGTTCCTGTCACAAAAAGGTTGCAGTCGCAAGTCGGCTGTTTTGAAGTGGCTGGCTCCTTAACGCTGGGTACCAGGCCACATACCACTCCGGAATAGTTTGAGGCCTCAGCATGCCAAAGAGCCACACACTTCAAGCACATAACTTAGGTTCACTAGTGCGCAGCTGTCACGATTAACTTAAAGGGGGTCACACCCGGCAGCCGGCCCTTGTGGCCATGCTGCTGATTGTTAAGTACCCTTTTCTAAGTAATTATACATCTGAGTACGACAGTTGTGACATATGTTTTAACCATTCCCTGAAACAAGTATCTGCGTATCGATCATAGACGCAGCCCTACAGATATTATATATAGAGCCTCGCGACTCTCGGGGCTAGGTACCCCTAAACGAGCTAGAGCCGCTCTGGACCCCTTGGAAATCCCTTTGCAGTCGTAGCCTTTCCCCCTTGAATCCTTTCATAGCCACATATTAGGAACCTGCACACTTCATCATCCCGCTAACTGACCTTGCTTGCGGTCTTCTTTTATACACATTAGTCCTTGTCCCATTCAGGCTATATCTGCCCTCATAACACCGACTCCTTACTCTTCGTTTGCATTCCATGCCACCCCATATCGTCGTTCTCGCGCACAGGAGTCAAGAGAGCCAACTGGTCGAACCCTTCATAGCACATTTTCACGCCCTCTTCGGCTGCCCCTTGCCAGGGGCCTCGCTAGATGCCCCTCTCAATCACCTCAAAAGCATCCGCAAAGCCCGGCTCCCTCTTGGTCTCCTTCCACAGTCTCTCTTTCAGACCAGCACCCTCCGAAGTGTACATGATCGCCGGCCAACTATATTGAGTCAGTCACGTGTTCCATACGACCTGGGCATCCCCTGGGCAGTACTTACGGCTTGATCACTCCATCGGAGGTAAAGCTTCCATGGCTCTCAGGCCCCTTCACCAGCGCCGCGTCGAGGTAGCTCCTGGCCCCAATCTCGACACTGCGGCCCAGGGTCTTCTTGAATAGCCCCGTGAAGAAGGTTTCCGTCGCCGGCTTGATGATATTGGTACCGGCCGTGAGACCTGAGTTGGCCAGGTTCACAATGACCTGGTCCGGGCTAACATACGTCGCCAGCTTGTCGATGAACAACTGCCCAAGGAATTTTGAGTTCTGGTAGTTCTTCGCGGAGCCCCACCGCCTCTCCTTGTCGGCGGGCTTGAATAGGGAACCCGTCACCATATCCTCCTCCGGCGTGTGCCAGTACGTCGTGTCCGAGCTGACGATGACCAGGCGGCCCGGCTCACCCGGCGGCTTGTTCTCCTTCATAATCGGCAGCAGCAACATGGCCTGCAACGCCGTGGAGAGGTAGTTGACCTGGAGCATTAGCTCATGACCCTCCCGTGAGCGGGTGAAGGTCTGTGCGACAACGCCCGCGTTGAGGATCACGATGTCGATCCGCGATAACTCCTTCTTGCATCGCGTCGCAAAAGCCCTCACGCTGTCGTACGACTCCATCTCGAGATGCCACACCTCGATCTGGGCCATGGGGAACTCCCTCCTCAGACCCTCGGCGAGCGCATCGCCCTTGGTCGTGTTCCGGACCCCCATGATAAGCCGCCCCAGCTGCCGCTCCAGGAACTGACGGCTCGCCTCCAGGCCGAGGCCGCTGCTGGCGCCGGTCATGATGAGGGTCGCGTCGGACAGGTCGAACTCCAACGGGATCTCGGCTGGCGTGATCATGGTCTGCCGGTAGACGAAGGCCAGCGGGTTGGCCTCCCAACCGGCCTGCTCGGCTAAGGTGTTGGACATGCCGGGCTGTTGCGATTCGAACCTCTACTGCGACCTTGGTTGTGCGGGGGCGATTGGATTTTCTGTCAGGATGGCGAAATTGACAGATTGGCGAGAAAGCTTGTCAGCTTGTCGAGGTCGGAAAAAGTGGCGGCTACGAGGTGACGTTTGGCAGATGAAGTACCCTCCCGGAGGACCCGTTAATTATGGGGATGAGAAACATAAAACGAGATTGCGCGCCCGCCCTTAGCTCGATTTTCCCGACAGGAGCGTTTGTATAGGACCGGGGCTTGTTAATAGTATTTGATGTCATGCTCTCTCTCACTCATCCAACCCGCCCCTTCGATGTCAGGGTCGGGGGGGTTGAGGGTGGCAGCACCGCATTGCTTTGCCTTTGACCGGGTTTCCCCCACGGGGCGCGAGGTGTCCCGAGGACCTGGCGGACGACCAAAGTTGAGACGCGCCAATGCCTACGATCGGACTGAGGAGCGTCGCCTATTCGCGTGCGCTTGAGGGTTGGGCGCTTAGGTATCAGACTTGGTTATGCGTGCGACGTTGGACAACCACCATCACGGTGCCCCTTTGCCAAGAGGTTTTTCAAAAATGTGTGTAAGAAGGAGGCACGGAGGGGGAGAGCTTTGTTTGACGCAGGATCGGCAGCGGGCTCGGCGACGGGGTCAGGGTCCACGACGCTCGGTGTTGCATGTCTGTGCTAAGAAAAGAACGCCGTTGGGGTCCGCAAATAGCGTGGTCGACGGCCGATGGACGCCAAGTCTGGGGAGTGACATCGTGGAGGGTCGAGAGGTCTCAAGAGGCAAAAGACGATGTTTGGAGATGTGAGTGTGACCGTCGTCTATGAATAAACCTTCCAGTTAGCCGCGAAGCTCTAGGCCAGTGTCTTGGGACGCATGAAGAAACAGACATCAGGAGAAGTTTAAGGGGGTAAAACATGTGGTGTACCGGGATGGTGGTACAATCCTCGGTAAATCTCGGTGAGCCATCCGGACATTCTCGGTGTGCGCGAACCGATTCCGAAGGCTCCACTGTGGCTTGTGGCCTCCGTGTGGCTCAATACGCCGACTGTGGCTCGGCATGAACCCGGCTGCCCTCCCTCTTCCGGCTGAAGCCCCTCCAAGGCCCCCTCCCCCTCCTCTTGATTCGTTAGGGTTCATGCGAGGCCAATGGTGGGGTAAAGAAGAAGGTGGGCTGGAAGGGAAATGCAACCTTGGCCTTTCTCAGGGTCGTTTCGCCTTTCCCGACATCACCGCCAATCCTGCCCTTCACCGAGTTCCACGACCAAACCACCCCTAACCCCCTTTCTTTTTCCGCTCCGGGATCCCAGAGACGAACCGCTCTCTCTCCCGTCCACATCCTTCCGTCTAATTTGCGTGTCCTTACGCAATTCCTCCCGCCGACCTAGCCGTCCTCCCCCGACCGAACTTCTCCACCTACCGACATATATCCCGCCGCCCCCTTCTTCCTCCCACCACCCTCCCTCCACAAAAACCGCCCGTCATGTCCGGCCTCGACGCCCCCGAGATCGCGACGGCCTACGAGGCCGTCCGCTCCGACAAGGACGAGACCAACTGGCTGCTCATCTCGTACGCCAGCGCCGTCGGCAACAAGATGAGCCTGACCAAGACGGGCACGGGCGGCCTCACCGAGCTGGCCTCGGAGCTGGACAACTCGCAGGTGCAGTACGCCTACGTGCGCGTCGAGTACGCCAACGACGCCGAGAGCAAGCGCGTCAAGTTCGCCTTTGTCATCTGGATCGGCGAGAACACAAA